ACTTCATTTCTGCATTCAGCATTGGCTTTTGTTATATCATCGTCAATTATCATTATTATTATCAATATACAAATAAGTAGTTTATTTTTAGAATTACACATTTTTTTTATTTCATTTTTTTTTTTTATTTTTTTTTTATTTTTTTTTTTTTGTTTGTAATTTTTAATAAAAAGGATTATCCAGTGGTAATTGTTATAAAATAATTTTATACATGATACAATTATCAATACGAGGCTTTATAACTCTGTAATAAACCCTTTGAAAGACTATTTTTTTTACTTCCGATCTCTCCTACGTCAGACTATCAATTACAGCTAGTATTTTTATTATTATAAAATAAAAGGAAATCTCATTAAATAACATTGATGATCACTATAAATGAATTATAGCTTTAAATTTTTCTAGCCGGTGTTTTACAACGGATATTAATCTTTGAATAACAGTTCAAATTTTACCTCTTTAGCGCACGTAGAATTTCAAAATGAAAAGTAATTTTGAACATTGCTGTTATTCTACATATTGGAATGTGAAAACCGAACAACACGACCACCGTTCTATTAAATAGTTATCGATCGATTATCGATATATTAAATCGACAACTAATAAAATAATAATAATATTCTCATTGTAACTCCTTTGTAAATATGTACGTGCAGATTTATTTATCAAAGTGTCATAGAAACATATGACTCTGAGTGTAACCATCATAATCGCAGTCCCTAATAAATGTTACGCACAATGAATTTCTTGTGTGTAGACCAGAACGTGTCTTTGTCATCGTCGACGCTGTCATTGTCATTATTATCATTGGCATTTTGTAACAAGTCAAGCAGCGAGAAGGAAAAATGAAATTACAACTTGTGCTCGTCCGTGATGCAAGCACTCTTTTCCGTCTCCCTTTCGACTTTCTCTCACAGCTCCCCATAATGCAAAAATGGGGTCTGAGAATAAAGCGGGGCTGTAATCCTTGAAGCAATCCTGGAAAAGCCTCTCCCTTGAAACACGTTGCTTCATTCTTCTTCATCCTCGTATCAGTATTATCAGTTGCTTCTTTTTCCTCGATCCAACACGACAAAAAAAAAAAAAAAAAAAAAAATGCGAAGCAGCAGGCGGAAAGACTGCCACGCGACGATGACAGATGACAGTCGGCGAGTAGGAAAAACGACCGTAAAAATCTTATCTTTTTAAAATATTGCTTCTTGTGCAGTCACAAAGATGCTCCTCCATATTTAAGCTTATTAAATAGAAATTAAATAGCTAAGAATGGCATTAAGAAATCTAGCAGCTGCTTATAATGGCTTAATTAAATTACTTTTTCAAAATCATCACGACTTACATCATAATTAAGATTGTCACTCATGGGATCGCTGAAAATATTATCTTATTAACACTTTTTATTCCAATAAGCTTATAAAGAATGTACTCAATGGTTTTTATAATACATTAAAAAGCACGCGTATTCATATGAATATATACAACGTTATTTATAATCTCATTGCTTAAAGATATTTCTTGAATGGAAAAAGAAAGATGATAAAATAAACTCACGTTTTCAAATTTTAAATTTCACAAATTATGATATTAATATCTACTAAAATCGTTTCAAAAACTATATTCACTTTTTTCAAGCACATTATTAATGAAAAAAAATTACTAAATTTAATGTGACGTGAAATGTCTTAATATTTATAACAAATTTAATTGGACTAACAATGATAATGGATTAAACGGACAAATATGAATCTGGTAGCAGACGAATCATATGTAGTTTATCAGTTCTTCAAATTATTCAGCTGGAACAGATATTATATACCCTCTTTGGTAAAAAAGTAATATAATTAAATAATTCGATCCTTCGTATACTTCCTTCCCTCGGCAAGAGCAGATAACAAAGCTTATACCTCAAACTCCACTGAACCGCCTTGATTCACCTACAACTTCCCGGTCTTCATTTATAAAAAGACTGAAGCAGTTCAGCTCTTGAATTTAAAATGGAATTGAATACATAGACCTGCGAAATACAGTTCCTCCTAGCCGGAAATTTAGACTTAATTCATAGGATCGTTAAATTTCGTACTCAACCGCTCTCTAAAGTTAAAATAACCACATATATATATATATATATATATATATATATATATATAATGTAATATGCAGCAATGCTTAAATAACCTTACACATGCAATTTCATAACTAAAGTTCATAACGATAAGAGAAGTGAAACCTCAAAACTTATACGCTTAGCTTAATTGAATTCCACATATTTTGAACAACATTGAACAACGTGAATATTTTATTTTCTTGTAATAAAACTACAATATCGTATGAACTTTCATTTTGACAACTCGAAATGCTTGAATTAGTATTTAAATATTTATATCATTTCAAATGTCTAATTAAAATTAATTTTCTCGCTCAACTTTGAATATACCTAACTTATTCATAACATTATTGAATATTTTCAAAATTATCCAAACAAGATGTTGAAGTGATAGTTATAATCATGTTACTTCAAACATAATCTTGAAGCTAATGACAATCAGAAATAACAATATTTCATTTTGTTTTAATTAAATTCTACTATATTGACTATAAGAATATTAAAAATGCAGTCTTATTATATTTAGCTAAAATTATATTTAGGTAAAAATCAATATATTAATAAAGATAAAATTCATCGATAATATAATTACTAAATTATATAAATAGTAATTCTTTCTAAAAATTTGAACTTCTCATTAGCTTTTCCAAAGTATAAATACTTGGACGGAATGTAAAATACTAATCAGATTCAATTTAATAGATTCGATTCAACCAAATCTATCACATAATTATTGCCAATTATTTTCGAAAACATTTATTAGAAATAATAAGCCAAGAGTTTATTTAATTAATAGAATATTAATAAACTCGATTACATGTATTTATTACAGAATAAAATTTTTTATTACAAAATAAAAAATAATTATAATTATTTCATTTTCTATTTTGAAAATAGATGAAAGTAACATTGCTTTTTGGCATTATACAATAAATAACAATAAATAAATATTAACAAACAAAAAATTTATATATGTTATTGTAATTATTATACATTACGTATAAAATTATTAAAATTTATAATAAATTAAATTTTATAATAAATTTTTTATCAATGTAGACATAAATTTATTTAAATTATTATTAAAATTATAGATAATCAGTCAGACAAAATTAAATAAGATATTTTGCAAAATTATAGTTCCATAGTACATTAAATGTGTGAATAAAACAATATTAGATAAAATATTCTAATAATGCGAATTCGATAAAAAAAAAAACTTCTAATGAAAGAATTTAAACGTTCCATACATTCATTAATCTTTGCAGATATACAATTATTTAATGCAATTATTTAAAATTTTTTTTACAATATTTCCATATTATTGTATATTCAATATCTGAAACGGTATATAATGTTTTGAATAAATAATATACGAACATTGTAATAAATAAGGTATTCGCATTAATAATATATTACAAATATTGCACATATATTTTGCATAATATATAATAAAAAGTTCATAAACTATTATACATTTCGTAATAAAAGTATTGAAAAATATAAAAAATTCAATCATTTTTTAAATTTAAATACCAAATTATGCATGAATAAATAATTCAATCGTTATTTCAATATTATTATTATAAAACAGCTATACGTTATAGATTAATATGTAAATTTTTGTGTTTATTTATATAATTATATTATATCAACAACAAAAAGTAATAATAAAATACGATAAAAAATTATTTATAATACTGGAGTGTTTCGTTTATGTGCTTTAAATTAAATAAAAGTTGAAGATCAAAAATAAAATATTTTATCATGTTTAAATAAGATTTATTAAAATAATATAGTAGCATACTATAGTATTTGATGATAAAAATACTATTAAAAATAACCAATACATATATGAAATCTATAATCATAAATAACGTAACAAAACCACAGTCGATCATATCTGATAAAGTTTGGTAAAAATTCTATTTTGGAACAATTACTGGCATATTGATAAGTAAAAAACTCTATTATCCGATTATATGAATATAGACGTTGTATTAGAAAATATTATTTTTAACAATAGTAAAGTTTACTTCGTTAAGATTATTTCGTATTATAATAGTTAAATAATTCTAATAATTATAAGTTAAAAAATTATTGTAAATACTTTATCCACTGCTCGTTCAATTAAGTCTAATTGAATTTAATCAAATTTAAGGAAAAGTTAATAAATTACTAAATTATAAAATTTAGACCATTTTTTATGAAATAAATAATTTTAAATAAATAAATATATATATATATATATATATATATATATATATAATTTCCATTTTTCACACTTCTCCTCAATAAATAATTCAATAGAGATAATAATTACTAAGATAGACATAATTATTAATAATATTAAAATATGAGTTTTGCTAGAAAGTGTTTTTTAATAGAAGCATTTAATTATTCTATTAACTGAATCTGTTGTATAAATATACATAAACAATCCTGTTGTAATATCATACTATAAAAAATATCTTTGCTTATATTATGGTATAATTCTCAAAACCATGTACTTTATACCGATGTTTATTATTCACTAAAAACGTATTTATAAATTTGAAAAAAATCATGAAAATCTATGAATTTATAAAAATATATATATATATATATATAATTGTGTATTCGATAATTACATTATTAATCTTTCGTGCTAATCTCTTGATTAATAAATGACAGAGATTATTTTCCCAGCAACTAAATGTCCCTCGAGTTTTCTTCATCCGATATATTACAAATATGAAAAATGATATGTGTAATATTAGAGGCAAATTTGTCAATGCAACATTGCTACAATTATTCATTGGCTAGTTAATAACGCGTCCGCACAGCCCGTGAATATAAATTTTCTAAGAAGGAACGGCACAAATTACCAAGTGACTAATTGCATTATTCGTCACTGCAGGTTGGGAGCTACCACACCATCATTATCATTACCTCTGTTACCACCGGAGTAGGCAATCACGGAAACATGGGGATTCACATGTTAGGAGTGCTAGGACTTGTCGGATTTCACGCAGCCACGGTCGGTGTCGGCATCTGGGTTACCATGATTAAGAAAATAAAAGGCGGACAAAACGCAATGATACTGGCCAATCGGAGCATTGGACTTTTCCTTGGTATATTCTCACTCGTAGGTAACGTACTCAACAATTATTCACATACGTACTTATTATTTATGCTATTTGCGCTTTATTTTTGATTGCCGTAAAAGTCATGAAAATCTTTTATGCGGAATTGCGATAGATAATTTTGACATTAGCAAACATTGTCGAAGCAGTAATAAAAAATTATATTGAAAGAGGAGGTATGAAATCCTACTTCAAGTTTCTTTTTTACGTAAAAATGATTTCAAGGACTTGCTTATATTTCTTTTATACGTAATTATCGAAATAGATAAATAAAGAATTTACAAATGATTTGTATTTTTTATATTACTTGATGTAACTATGATTATAAAGATATTTGTTATTTTAATTTAATAATGAGGATATGTCAATAAATTAAAATAACACACACATGTATATATATATATATATACATATAAGTTTCAAATACATTTTATAGTTTTAACGTAATAAATATTTAGAGACTTAACAAATGATATTCTACTTAATTATTATTAAATTAATCTTACATTTATTATTGCATTGCATTTAAATCAAATGGTCAAATCATTTTTTTAAAAGCTCTTTTGTTTCATAACCTTAAATAATAGTCTAGATGTACTATTTATTTATATATTTTTATTTATAACAGAATTGAACAAATGTAATTATTTATAAAAAATTAATTTAAGGAATAATTTGAGTTTAGTAATATAAAAAATAGATTGAATTTTGAGATCGTTGTTTAGAAGTACAAAAAATAAAGAAATTATTTATATTAATTTTTATTACGACATAATTTTAAGAGAAGTACTTTGGAACGTATTCTGGGAATCTGAAACGTTTTTCATTTAAATTTCAAAATTTTTATAAAATTAAGCTTTTGTCAGTTCTTGAATAGCTTTAGTGATATAAGGGAAAATTTTTTTTAATTTTAAATGTTAATGAAAAATGAGCGATATTTCTGGAAAATAAAAAGTAATCAATGACTGAGATTGTCGATAACTCGTTTTAAAATGTGAAAATTTAAATAGACTTTATGATAATCTATTGTAATATGAATGTCAATTCCTTTGAGAAAAATGAAGAGGGACAAATTTATTTAAGTCTTTTCACCATAATTACTACAGATTGGTTTTTGAAGATTCGATTATCACAACCCTCAATTAAATATATAATAAAAACAAAATATTAATAAAATTCAATTGCGTAAACTATAGAAAATTTATTACAATTTTCTTAACTGTCAAGAGAATCAAAAGATTCTTATAAATCCTATAGACATCAGAGTTTAATTGGAATTAATTAAGAACGTTAGTGAATAATGCTTTCGTTGAATTATCGATGTAAATGTAAGAAGAACGGTACAGCAGGATATATAGTAAGAAATATAATTGTAAACATATTTTAAAACAATATTATTTATTGCACTTGTAATACAACGATGAACAAAAGGGAAAAAGAATTTTATGAAAAAAAAATTTAATGAATTATATATATGATATCTTGTATGCGAAATATTTTAAGAATAAATATTCTTAATTTAGCATTATAATGTTTTAACTAAAATTCTAAAACTTAATATTTTAATACTAATTTCATTTTGTTATTAAAAAAATCATTAAAAACTTTGATTGGACTGACTATATCTACATTATATTTATTTTTAATTGAAATTTGAGATAAAAAATTTTAAATAATTATAAAAATTGTTGCTTAAAATATAAATGAATTTTATAGAAAATCGAATATTATTTGTTACGCGTCTTTAGACATACGTTATCAAAGAATAATTTTGTCTGATCCAATGCAACATCTAATGCAATAGAAATGTTTTGTTATTTAACAATTTTAATGAAATAGGGAACTTATTATGTATTAAAAAAAATTGAAAATAACATTATATATACGTTATCTATCATCATGATAATAAAATATTCTTTTATGTAAGAACTCGTGTGCATTTGATAAAAATTAATTTAATTATTTATATATAAATGAAAAGTTAGTGATGACAAGATGTCGCGCGAAGAATCTGGCAGACTTTATAACACATTTAAATTGTAAAAAATTTTTATGCTAAAAGATACAGAATATAATTTGGAAAACTTTTGCTATTACTGCGATTAAATTAATTTGCGAAATATTTTGAACTTAAACTAACGCGGTTAATTAACTTCGGACATAATAAAAGAACGAAATTGAAAATTAAGAGAGAAAACATTTATTTTGCATAATTTTCATTTTATTTTAAAATTATAAAATGATAGCACATTCGTCATCATACATGAATTTAAAAGAGTCAATTAATTTATATAAGACATATATAAATTACTTTTTACTAGTTTAGTATGATTTATACGAGTTGTTAAGTAACGGGTGTTCAGAACTTAGTAACATTTAGTTTTCAAAATTCCTCTATAACAATTTAGTACAATTATTATTTTTTAAAATAGCTATTAATGTTTGTATATTTCATCAATGTTCAGAACAATTTTACAATACGAGTATATGAATTTCATAAACTAATCTAATAAATACATTATATTTATAAATAAATAAAAAAAAAATGTAAAAAGATGGTTAGGAAGAAATATTAACTAAAATAATAATATTAATCAAAATGTCAACAACAACAAAAAATTATTCCTCCATAAAAAAATCAAATAATCAAATGAAATGAGAACAACGAATGTAATGAATATTTCTGTAAAAATACATAATATTCATGTTTTAACACCATTTAACGATTTATTCATATTTATAATATAAAATACAATGTACAAAATTTTGCCCGTTACAATTACTAAAAAATCTTTGATAAAAATTTATGAAATCTTTGCACTATTAAAATATATTTTTTGTAATACTGGGCTATATATTGCGATAACTATTGATTTTTATATTTATTCCATTGTAACATGTATTATAATCGAAATAAATTGAAAACTATCACTACGAACAAGACGATGATATACAATAATACTTTTTATATGAATTCTATAGTTTTATAATAAATAAGTTTAAAAAAAAAAAAAAAAAAAAAAAAAAAAAAAAAAAGATAAAATATATAATTACAACAATTGAACAATTGTGTACAAAAATTAATTGACAAACTGACAGCAAACTAATATTTACACTAGACAAATATTTATATTCGAGTTCTATGTTTTTACACTACATAATCCAACAATTTATCAATGTGCAAAAAAAAGAGACATATTTTCGCAGCATTTAATACTTCTGAATTTATTTAACCAATATAACATAATTTTTCAATATAATAGTAATGAACAACCACATATTATTTTGAAAGATATAAGTTTTTTTAATAATTTTGCTTAAAAATCATTGGATTATTGTGTTATAATTTTACGAATGATAATTTAATGCATAAGTCAATATAAATATAATTACGAATGATCCTGTTTGTTAAAGTAATATCGTATCTTTATGCAAAAGATTGTTAAAATATTCATCAGAATTATAATTATATACTTTTAATTTCTCTAACAAAAATACTGTCTTTATAAAAAATTATGATCGAACGACGCTTTGTTCGACATTCGACAAATTTAGTGATAAAAGTGCATATGAAAAAATTCAATTTCACTAAACGAAATATCGCTTCATAAAAATTATTAACTACTGACGATGGATAATTTATCTTATTGAATTATCAATAAAAGCGTATTGAAATTGAGGCGTCTCATTTTGTTACAGGAACCTGCGTCGGTGACACCATACTCAATGGTACCGCGGACTCCATGTTTAGTAAGGGCCTGGCCTGGTGCCAAGTGCCCATTGGATATGGTCTCAGTCTACTTTTTGGTAAGCGTAAGAGTTCTCAACGCGCGCACTCCCATACATACATACGATGTAATGTGCGAACTAGATTTCTAGATTCCCGTTAGATTTCTGTTGAATTATGGAAATGAAAAGAATTGCGAAGCGAACATGCCTTTTTGTTAATATGTTTTTATCTTTTTTTCCATTATAATGACTTAGTATCACCAACTTGGCATGAAGTTTTGGCTCTGAAAAATTCATAAATTATTCTATTGCTTCGTCTCTAGATTAAAGTCTAAATCACCGAAGACATAATATCATCTGTGCCGAAGTATTTCATAAATATTTTTACACGAGTATTGATACGATTGCATTATTATAAGATTAATTGATATATTTATATTATTTGCTGATAATGTTTTATTCATAGAGATTTTTGGTTATTTACTTACCACCCTTAAAACTGAAATCAATATTTACGAGTATTAAAAGAAGAAGAAGCAGTCTTTAAAAATATTCCTATGTCGAAAACGGCTTTCCAGTAAAATAAATGGTTATATTATGGCGGTATATGTATTGAAAGCAATTGATATCAATTAGCAACTTACGACAAACTAATATTGATTAACAATATAATTTTAAGATTTACCATGAGTGTAAAATATGCAATTTATCAAAACTTGACCTATTTTGAAGTATAAATAATAATATTATAAAATAATAAGCATGATAATTTTATAAAAGTATAGTTTTTTTTTTTTTTTTTTTTTTTTTTTTTTTTTTTGACAAAATGAACAGACAAAATGCATTTATCGTTTATTTTGAAATTATTTTGTATTTCGTTATTTTGCATGCAAAAATTAATTTAAAACAAAAAAATCTGTTGATGAAAATGAAATTTTGAATTTTTTATGAAAAACATTCGCATTTTGTACGTAAAATTGAAAACATTCGTTGATGGCAAAACATATTTAATAACCTATCACCAATACTTTTTTAATCTAAAATAAAATAATTAAATGAAACACATAGAACGAAATATGCATGAATATATATATATATATATATATATATATATATATATATATATATATATATTTTAAATGTACACGGACATTGATGAAACGGCTATATGGTATAAGTTTGTCTTTGATTATAATTGACTTTAGGGTATCAATTCTTTATGAATATAAGAGTTTTATTTTCCATCGTGTTAATTTCGATCAATCGATACGTTAAATTTTAATATGTAGTTGAAAATAAAATTCATGAAATATTGAATCGTTCGACTATTTCTACAATAATTAAGCTATCTTATAGGATGCTATTTTATAAGATAACTTTCCAAATAAACTGATCGTTTATTTTACAGTTTTATTTTTATTTATATAACATTTATAATGGCAAGTATTTTCTATATTGCAATATGGATTATTTGAACGATATTCAGTCTACTAGGGAACAACCGACAGATATTGAAAAAAGTTATTTACATTTGATCACTTTAGTACTTCAATATAAAATATAAAATAAATATTTTAATCGGGCTTTTTAACAGATTTTGTCACATTTTTAGAACTATAATTATTAAATTCATAATTACAGTTGTATTTCGAAAAATCACTTTGAATAAAATAAACTTTGACTTAGAGATGAATAAAATTATTTTACAGCTTGGCATTTTTAAGGAAAAAATAGAAAGATTTAAAATTAAATTTTTGTTAATACAAAATTATTTAGTTGTGTATGTGATTTTAAATTATATATACGAAAAAAAAACAATTTGGCTTAAATTTGTCTAGTAATATATACATTCCGCATTAAATTTAATTAATTATATATATATATATATATATATATATATAAACTCACAATTTTATTAACATTTAATCCAATTAGTTTTATTTTTGTTACTTTAAATTTACAATAGATAATAATTTTATATGATTTGCTTTACTTATTTATTATTACGTTATTAATTCCATACACAATTAATAATTTAAAATGCATTAAACTGGTTAACTTACACAAAAGCTTAGTAGTATAAAAATATATTTATTATTTAGTTGTTTTTTAATTATTTATACAACCAAGAGTAATATAATTTTTCTAAATTTTCTATATCTTATATCTACGAACAATTTATTTATTTAATTCTTCTATGAAGTTTTTTTATATACCGATTAAATGATATAAACAGCTCGGAATATCAAATTTTCATATTTTCAATACATTTTTGTTATTTGTAAACATAAAATTTTATACAGAATTTATATAAAATGAATTCAAATTATTTATATTAACATTAAATTAAATTAATTCTAACCGTGAATGTATCTTAACTGCTTAATTAACTTATATCTAAGGGAATATAAAAACGTTTAAATATTATGAATTTTTATTATAATTATGAAGATATATAATATCGATGATTGGATTTCAAATCATAATATTCAATTTGAAATTCACATAATGAGCACATAAGTAAATTAAAATCACAATTACATGCCCAAAGAGACATTACGAAACATTGTTATTTGCATTATTCGATTTATAACGCTATCGATTTATTTAATCTTGTGTACATTTTTGTTTTAATCAATTCTGGATTACTAGAGTACAACTTATGTATCGCTCTACAGAAATTTAAATATTATAAACATTACATTACATATTATATCGCATTACATTTAGATAATATAATATATACCTAATATACTAATACATTATATATAATATGTATAACATTACATATAGAAAAATTAATGAATTAAAAAAAAAAAAGAAGCATTATTAGGAATTTAAATTGTGTAGAATTATAGTGTCATATGCTTCAATTTTAATATTATAGATAAGTGAGCAGTTTTTTTAACTGACATTAATGACAATTAATGACATTGTTCAATAAAGATCAATATTATTTGATTATCACAGTACCATAATATCATATTGACATAAAGTAGCCAATGCTGACTCTTAGTAATGGATCGTTTATCCTGTATTTATTATGAATTTATGCATTTAGAAAGCGAAGAGTAGTTGAATGTTTCGCCTTCCAATAACACATGTTCAATTATTAAAATTGTAAGTATTCAATTCGTTTAACGTGATATTCTAATCCGCCGCCTAGAGTGCATTATAATAATCAATTTTTTCGCCGTCAATGCATCGTCAAAAGAATCCGAGAATTACAATAAAAAGCCTAAAAGCGACGATATTAATAATTATCGATAAAATATCGATCACGGCCGGAAGGTCCGATTGAAAATCCCGGTCCTATAATCGTTAATCCGGCAGCGTTCACGAATGTTATGCTAGGAAAATAAAATAAATCAAGCTTAGCTCGGTCAGTAGCTCGAAACTAGTTACCGCCACCTACAATTAATGACTGCAAGCGCAGCGAAAATCAAATGACCAACAGGGCCGAACACGCTGTATGCGCAGGTGCTTTGCTATTCGCCAAGCCGATGAGGAAGGCCGAGTACGTGACGATGCTCGACCCTCTGCAGCATCACTACGGGGCCCGGGTCGGCGGCCTCATGTTCCTGCCCGCCTTCTGCGGTGACTTATTCCGGTGCGCGTCGCTGCTCAAGGCGCTGGGTCTTTCCCTCAGCATAGTCGCCGGCATCGAGCCCAGTCTCGGCGTTTGTTCTATGATTCTCGCTGCAGCCACGTGAGTACGAGGAGTATGAGCCTGGCCGACTCCTATTTATCGTCTGTCGTTTTTACAGAATCACGCCCACCGCCCGCATACGTTGTTCCGACCGCGTTTCCTCGATTCTTGAAGCGCCTGTTAAATGGCGGCAGTGCTTGCTTTGTATGGAAGCGGCATGGGCATGGGAGAGCTTTACAGATTTCGTTTTTATTTGCCGGGCAGATGCTACGTCAGCTCGGCAATAGCTTAGTTTCTATTTAGATATTAGAGCCGGTGCTTCGATTAGTAATTCGTTTTGCAAAAATCACGCGTTCAGGTAAAGACATGACATTTTGTTAGATCCGCGGTCGCTCAAGCACCGAAACGCCCGACATTGTGTGAAAAAATGAGGGGAAAAAATCGTTAATAAAAAATTGGATACTAGTTACGAGTAAGATTCACTGTCTTGTAATGTATGTAATGTAATTCAATAACTTACGATATTACGTTACGAAGTAAAAAAATTCTATATAAAAAAAATATATTTTTTATACAACTACGTATACGAGACAGAAATAGAGGAACAACATTCGCTAAAATTGTCATACATATGACATATGAAGAAACTTAATTCAATGTTATCGAGTTATTATATGACAAAAACGACTTTATTATAATGACAAAAACAAGGCTAAAACTTAATTGAAAATATCATTGTATAGTATAAGAATCAACACAAATGTAAATTTCAATACGTATAATCCGCAATATGAAATTAAAATTTTAAAAGTTTCATTTGCTTTTAATAATTGTTAGTAAAAACAACCCATTTAACAAAAATGCTCCTTTGCATATAATTATAGTTAAAATAATAATCAATTACATTTGAAATATTTTTCTAATTTCTGAATTTACTTTAAATAGAATTTGTGTGCATTATATTTATTGTCGAATGAATTCTATTGAAATCGACTTATTGCTTAATTTAAGGAAGGAATGAAATTTTATAGAACTTGTTAGGAATTGAACGGCACTCGTAGTCATAATGTTTAAAATAATAATTTACTAGCACAGGAATTTAACGTTTAAATAGTAGTGTTTTTAATTTTTTTTTTAATCAAATTTGACATTACAAATGCATTTCTGATAATTACCAAAGACAATCAAAATACAAATTACGAAAGAAAGTAAAAATGAAATTTAATGCAATAGTAAAAGTAAAACAAACGAACAAAAAAAAAAAAAAAAAATTAAGTAAATAAAAAGTTTTTTCAATAAAATAACAAAAATGAAAATTATTGAAATTATTTGCTTACGTGCATTAAGTACATTTTCCTTCAAACTTTACTTGTTCGAGTTGTTTATCCATATAAACAACTCTTTGCTTCGATAAAATAAAAAAGACTAAAAATCTGTTGCCGAACGATGCCGTAAACAGAATACTCGTTGATTACAGTGAGGTAAAACATTTTCGAGCTTGCAAACTTGTTAGAGAGCGACGAAAACTTTACTTCGCCTTCTGCTTGACAAATTTTTAAGCTTCGCGAGCACGCAAGGATCAGCAACTAACAAGCTTTAATTCTCGAATATCGTTATCGGAAGTTCGCGTCTTATATAACGTCGAAGTAAACTCGAATCCCATTGCGATGCATAAAGTTTTACCAAGTAAATGGGAATTTTAATCTGCCTTTGTCAATTTCCTGACTCTCGTTATGAGAGTGAATTCATCGCTATATCAACACGCCGTCAGATGTTTAATATTTTTTTATTATAATTCACGATTAATTCACGATAATAAAAGCATTAATATGCAAAGATTTATGTATATATATATATATATATATATATATATATATATATATATAGAGAGAGAGAGAGAGAGAGAGAGAGAGAAAACATCACCACAGGGGTAAAAAATTTTGTTAAATGCTTCAAAGTTGTATAAATTGTATGCTATCCTACTACACAACAATAAACTTTAATAAATAAATATTTTTAATTATAAATTGTTATATAAGCTTTTTAACATCTCAGATTTAATATTAAAATACAGCAAAATATCATAAATAGCTTTATGTTTGTAAGTCACTCGGAAGATACACGTTTTTCAAAAAACTTTAAGAGAAAATCTCGGAAAATATTGCTTTTGATGAGAAATTAAAATTAACTTTGTAAAATTAACATTTAGGATGCAGTATAAGAACGAGTACTCGTCTAAAGTCGAATATCTCACAATATTCCACGTCTCTCTAATAAATCTACAAATCTTAATATTTCACAGTCAAATTTCAAAGAATCGACATTTTAAGCCTTTCTCTCTCTCTCTCTCTCTCTCTCTCTCTCTCTCTCTCACCGTATTTCGAAATATTCTGGCATTGCCTACTTGGGTACTAAGTGGCGAATAGCAAAGAGGGGGAGAGCGGGGGCATTAAAAGCAAAACTACAAAATATCAGGAATGTACAATTTACAGGTACAAAATCTCTGGTGGCATGTATTCGATGGTTTGGACAGACGTTCTACAACTGGTTTGCGTAGCATTCGGCTTGTCAATTTCTACACCATACGCGGCCGTCCATCCGGCCGTCTCATTCGAAAGGAGCTCAGCATCCAAAAACTGGATGGGCGACATAAAGACGCACGACCTCGGCGAGTGGCTCGACACGATGCTCCTCGCCATTTTCGGACGCATACCTTGGCAGGTAAGCCATCGCTCGGCCATCCCATTTCCAAGTCTAATAATACGTCTGCGCCACTCTCTCACTCCATTTCCAAGTCTCGATTCTCTCAAAGTCTCTTAATTACATTGTTAAATGCATTATTTACAATGATATTTTACTCTCTGTCTATAAATATCTCTATGGCTTTCGCTGCTTTATTATTATCGTAAAGCAGGAGAATTCGACTCGAAGAATAGATAAATAAATAATTTCTACTATATTTTCATTATGATCGCCTCTATCGCATGTTCTTATCTATCTATCTATATACGATAAGAAAGGAATTCATAAAATTTCTACATAAAAACTATATGACAACTATGCTGGAATTTACGAACGTAAATAGTTTCATAATTATAATCTTATAAGTATACAAGTTGTTGACTCACTATTGTATTGCAATCTATAAGTTTTTAATAATAATAATAATAATAATAATAATAATAATAATAATAATAATAATAATAATAATAATAATAATAGTAATAGTAATAGTAATAGTAATAGTAATAGTAATAGTAATAGTAATAGTAATAGTAATAGTAATAGTAATAGTAATAGTAATAGTAATAGTAATAGTAATAGTAATAGTAATAGTAATAGTAATAGTAATAATAATAATGATAATAATAATAATAACTAAATGTGCTCCTAATCATGATAATAGAAAAGTATCATTTCCTTGAGACTATAAATTCATTATGAGTCTTTAAAAAAAACCTTTAAGAGTGCGTTTAATACAAAGAACGAGAGAGAGAGAGAGAGAGAGAGAGAGAGAGAGAGAGGCATATCGAAGAATGATAAAACGACTAACGCATAATACTAAAAGATTAAACTCAATGCCACAACAATCGGATAATTATGATAATTAAATACCCGGGATTATGGAATAATTGATTGAAATGCTAATCGAGAAGCGCGTATCTTAAAAGAGCGAGACGACCGGGACATGATACGGAGACTCCAACAGCTCCGGGGTATACGTTGACATAATCACGTGACCATGTTACAGGGCTACTTCCAAAGGATTCTGAGCATCAAGAGCGCAAATCAAGCGCGCACCCTCTCGATCGCCTCGATGTTCGGCTGCCTATCCCTAGCCGTGCCTTCGGCGATGATTGGCGCCGTCGCCCGAGCTACCGATTGGCCACTTATCGATACTTACAACAAAACCATGGGCCTGGACAATGGCAGTGCCGTGATGCCTCTCGTTCTCCGCTATCTCACTCCCCAGTGGGTTTCAGTCGCCGGTAAGCGAATCAAAGCCCGGCAAATCGTTGCAAATCATGCCGGACGATGCTCGTGCGGTCGATCGACCAACCTTTCGACGTGTCGGAACTCCGTGGGGTAGGAGGTGGGTGGATGGGCAGGCCCATTTTGAATTGGCTATGCGGATAATGGAGGGGAATAAACGAATAATCGATTGGCGCCTTGCGTTTCGGGCCCGCGAGTAACGGCATTCCATGGAATACCGCGTAGCTAAATTGGCCATTTATTGCCATTTATTGCCATTTATTGCCATTTATTGCCATTTATTGCCATTTATTGCCATTTATCGCCATTTATCGCCATAACTCTGCGCCTCTATCCATCTTTATATCTTTCGATATGGCATCTAATCGAGAAAAAGATAAATTTAAAAAATTAATAAATTCCTAATTAAATGAGAAACATTCCCTTGGGCGCTCGAAATTTTAATCGCGATTAAAGCTATGGAAAAGCGAAGCCATAGGGAAAGTAGAGAGTTTATGTTTGCTCGGCTGTGGATATGTAAAATCGTTGGTCGCGAGGTAGGCAGATACTGCATTCTTATTTTATTTTAAGCCACATTGATGAATAAACTAGCTGCATTGGGAAAAAATTCTTCGATTTGTTTATAAAAGGTCTAGTTGGCATCTCAGCCGGGGTCATGGCGTCAGCTGACACGAGCATCCTTGGAATAAGCTCCATGTTTTCGAGGAATGTTTATAAATTAACGTTAAGGCCAAAGGTAAATAATGCAACTCCTAACAACTAAAGCTCTATTTTTTATTCATTTTCTTCCAAAGCGCTTTAATGCTCCTACTATTGACCCTTAGAGTATTATTATCATTATCGTCATTATTATTATTATCTACGACGTATTTTCTATTAGCATAATTTGCGTAGTTTAATCCAAGACTTTTATTTGATTATAATTTCATATAATAAGACCTTATTTTATTGTAGCGTAATCATTTTTATAATCAATAGAAAAAAAAAAAAAAAAAAAAAAAAAAAATATTCGGTAAGAGGGTGAGAAGAAAGGAATTTTTTCTTCGCTCTTAGACACTTGAATCTCATCCTAGTTTATTAAATATCAATTTGAATTTTTCATTTTCTTTGTATTTTTTGTTTTTTGTTTTTCTCTTAATGCATGCATGTTTGAATAATATTTGTTTTTTTACGAAGTATTTTCTCTTAACCTTAGGCTACTGAAAGAGAATTGGATTGGATTCTTCGGATTTCAGTTGCAATAGTTTCTTTTCTTTCCGCAACAGTTGCTCTTAGTGTTAGCAGTGTTAACTATTTAGCGTAAGTAATTCACACAACACAAACATATAGAAAAACCGTAGTTAAAATTCTATCATTTAACTTAATTACAAAGCATTTTTGTTTTGTTTTGTTTTGTTTTGTTTTACGTTTCGTACAGAGTAGTATATACTTTTGCACCAATTTCAATTCCATTGTCGTAGTAAATTAAAAATTCCTCCCATTAAAATGTAGTGATAAAAATTCAGTTTGCACATTTTAATTTTGCAGTTATTTATGCTCCGATTTTATGTACGTGGTTTTATTTCCACAACTTCTTTCTGTTATCCACTGGCCCACGCTGGTTGACTCGTATGGGTGTATTGCTGGTTACATTGTCGGCACTGTCGTACGAATATCTGGTAAGTACATACACATTCGCGTTCGTACAAATCTATATTTCGTTTATAAATATGTCATATATATGAGAGAAAATAATAAAACTTACACATTACGGAATAATGGAAAACAAATGAGAATACCAACAGCACTAATGGATTTTGGTAATCAACATGGCTACACAATAAAATTAGTTTTATTCGATACATACCCTTACATGCTCTTGCACCATTGTCTTCTTCAAATTGTCATTCTCAACTTAACTAATAAAGAACATCAAATAACATCTAATAAAATAATTTTATTATTATTTTGTTAAATATCTTTACAAATTATACGTCCTAGAGAAACAGGCAACCTTGGTATTTCAATATTACGTTATACTTCATTTCACTTACATAAATATTAAATTTTTATCATTTTACAAACTGAAAGTGCTGCTGTTGTTATTTTTGTTATTTTATTGTTGTTGTTGTTGTTGTTGTTGTTGTTGTTGTTGTTGTTGTTGTTCTTTCTTTATTCTTTTCTGTAGGTGGCGAGAAGGACTTAGGCATACCAGCTTTCGTAGAGTATCCATTTTATGACTCGCGCACCCACACGCAAAAGTTTCCTTTCCGCAGCGCAGCGATGTTATCGGCCATTTTTGCTCAGCTTATCGTCAGCTTTTTCACGCGCAATCTTCTCGGCGGTGGATACCTTCCACGTTGCTGTGATATACTAAATGTCTATGCACCTGGCAATACGAAGAATCTAAATGGAGTAGTACAAAGCAGCTCGGGCGCCGCTTTAATCGATAACACTATGAATGTAAGCCTTTTCAGCACTTTTAATTGTTACTTCAGCCGTACCTTTCCTTTCTCCATCACAACTGACATGCTTTTCATTCCTTACACAAACTTCTGCTCTTCCTGTTTTCCTCTACCGCTTCTTTTATTTCGCCGATCGTTTTGTTTTTTAATTATCCTAAATGATGCTTAATTAAAACTGAACGATAAAAGCTGAAAGTTTATATTATTGAAATAAATATTAAAATGTTATAAGGAAATACACCGTTTAAGAATATCCCTCGTCCCCCTGGCCAAACCCCCCCCCCCTCGACCGCCACCAACCCCGAACTCCAATTGCCTAAAAAAAAATGTCTACTTAATGCAATATTCAAATGTTAATTTTAGGTAGTTAACGTTTTAAGTCTTATTTAACATTAAAGGCAAATATATCTGAAACTTGAAATAATTTAATTATCTTTAATGTACGATCATTTTAAAGCTTTACTCAATTCTCAATGTATATATATCTAAGGTATATTTGTACTTAAAGATTTTTAAGTAAAATGCGAATTTTCCAAAAATTTAAAAACTTATATTATTATTTTTTGCCACAAATATTAATAATCTCTTGATAATTTAATTATCAATACATCTATTTGATCTATTACATTGAAATGTTTCATTAAGTTAATTAATATTCTAAAAATTTTCAACATAAAGATATAAATCGATAATTTTAATTTTTATCTTTATTTTATACAATAATCAACTATCTTTAAAGAAATATTTTCTAATAATCTACATTGTCCTTTAATATTAAACATTTTTGCTTTTTATTAAAATGTTGCTCTTAAATATATAAAACAAATTTCTTATATTACACTCATTATATTGCCCATAATACTCCTGGCATACAATTTAACAACACAATATTGCATTTATTTATTAAAATAATATATTATTTATTTATTTAACTTTGCCATTGCATGTAAAATTCCATAGATACTCGATAGTTTCTTCTTTAAATTTGTCTCGAATAATTCTACCCACATTCTTTACACGAATAAAAATATTTCACTATGATATATTTGTTTTATTTAACAATCACCAAGTATTTTGTCCACTTTTCTTCCTTTATGTATTTGTAAAAGCTTGTAGAACATCATTTGTATACTTTTTATCTATCATTCCGGCATTCTTGATTTATGTATTTTATTTACACGCATCCATACCTCTTTTCCATTATACCTACGTTTCTTCCTATCTATTTACTTTTTTTCTACAAACAATATTTCACAAATTCCTAATTAAATTTTTAATCAGAGGCATCTCAACTTCCCGTACATTCATAAAAGGGAAATTTTTCTTTATAATGCCTGATTATTTTACCGCAACAATAATTTTCTTATTCCAGTAATGTGATATCAACCTAAAATAAATATCACCTTCTTGAAAAACAATTGATTTAATGAGAAATATCGATTATTATTTATGATAGATATTCATTTAAATAAAAATAATGAAAGCGTGATGATTGTAAGGGCAAATGTAACCTTACATAAATATTATTCGATTACTAATAGCTTCTACGGATTCTTATTCCCATCCATTTATTTACTTAAGGCCAACTCTCGCGAAATCTCAGGTAATACAATTACTTGACTATAAAGAAGCCAATTTGTACTGTAATATGCACAGGACGCTTCACCGGGTCACTTATCCGACGCACCGACACTTTCGAGTAACCGTACGGACTACGACGGGAGCAGCACCGACACCCAGCTTCAACAACACCAACCACCTCATCAACAACCGACCATACGATGTGACATGATAAACGTATTATGCGAACCGAAATCGCTAATTTGTAACAACTCGCACAAAATGAATCAGAATCTACAAGGACCGCAGAATCTACGGGAATCAATGAGTCCGAAGCAAACGGCGACGATAGCGAGTCGCCCGGGACAGGCCCTTCATCATCCAACGATTATTAACAATCCCGTGGCACCTGGACAAATTCTCGGTGTTAAGAATATGAATTTCACGTCTGGGCACATGACCGACTGTATAGGCCCACCTCCACCAAGAATATTGAGTCCCTCAACAGCCACGTCTATGAGTAAGGCCATTTTATTCGGCTAACCTCGTTTAATCAACCAAATGGAAATCTATCAAGAGCCTCGATATATTCTATAAAATTCAAATATAATTCTTAATGCAAAATTACTCATTGCCATAATCTTTCACTCGTTCAATGATTAATCGTAAATATATATTATTGAATATTCTTTAGACGGTACAATCATTTACACGTATATAAATATTAATTTATTATCCATTTATTTTCTGAAATTGTTCAAGAGCTTTAGAAATTTTTACAGCAAACCTATTAATAATCTGTCGAATAAATTTTAAATTTTATATTCTATTGAAATAAGTAGGTATGCCATATGCTAAAGTGCCAACCACCATCATTACTAATGGCAGACTCGAAGGTGAAAAAATTGGCGCAGATCGCAGTAACATGGAACTAAATCTGAATCTTACCGACGGATCCGCTATCATTAAAAAAAACATTAAAGGTGTCAAATTAATTGGCATGGAGGGAGGAACGTTAAGAAGAACATCTTTACAGGTTACATTGACTTCAATTATTATACACTTACTAGCTAAAAGTTTCATAGATAATTATAATAGAAAATTAGAAAATTATTATGTTTTAATTTATTATCTGTGACATACACATAGAATAGAGAAAAGCAGAGATTAATTTACATTTTTTTCTGTAAACAGCATAACGCATGATAATCATTCAGTTCAATAATTATTTATACAATATAATAATGCAATTTTTATTTATTGAGAATTTACATAGAAATAATAGTAGAGTTTATTGTGTAAAAATTAAAGAGTATTGTTCTATCTTTAAATAATTAGCAAAACACTCCAAATGACTAATTGACGCAATTACATCATAAAACAAAAAGTAATGGTATCATTAATTTTTTTAATTTTTTATCTATTCGCCACTTGACTGAAATCACTTATACTAAACAATTGTATTAACAGTTTGAAATATTCTGTAAATAACATTACGATAAAATGCTATCACATTCTGAGAAATCAAGTTCAAACGTGTACATTATCAATGCAATATTGGTTATTGTCGCGTATTCGTCAAAATGTAGGAAAATCGCAGGAAAATCAATAACAGACAATACTCAATGAAACTGACGGTTAATAATAGCAATTATTAGCTTCAAAATCTAATTCAAATTCCGAAAAATTCACCAAAAGATTCGTAATTTTAAAGGGAATCCTGATGTTTTTTTTTGTTTTTTTTTTTCTTCTAGGGAACCTTCTCACCCACACCGTCCGTAGAAATGGTAAATATATTCGACAGGAGGCAAAGCAGCAGCTCATTTGGTCCGAGCTCGTTGTCACCGATCCCTGGAGTCGAGGCTTGTAAAACCCACGGGACCGCGATCAGCGGTCAGGGCGGCAATGAGCATTGCCGAATCAAGCGTGGAATTGTCAGGCATCACAGGTTAGCGCTTAACATTTTTTTTTTTTTTTTTTTTTTTTTTTTTTTTTTTTTTTTTTTTTTTTTTTTTTTTTTTTTTTTTGACATTTATTGTACTTTTAACGGCGTTATGTATACAAGCTTGAATTATAAAACCACATCGATTAATTTTTAAATTCTCTTCGGTGAGAAACAGAGCAGAATTACAATTTGTACTATTAATATGCATTTCTCCTTGAATATTCTCTATAATTGGCTATTTCTGCGACACACTGGGCATCCCAAAAAAAAAAAAAAAAAAAAAAAAAAAAAAAAAAAAGAATACTCTTTAAACAAACAATTAGTCTCGATGCACAATCGGGCAAATTTATCCTTTAATCAACGAGCTCCCCTGACAAATACATCGGAGGAGTAATCGCTCGTCCCTGTGATCCCGCAGCTTCAACGACACGGGCGACCGGACCCTCACGACCCTCGCCCGTCAACCCAACTACCCGTCCATGCCACTACGTCCGGAGGACTGCCGCGTTAACCAGCGTAAGGATGGCCCCCAGCCGAAGAAAGCCTGCAGTCAGATAAACCGCTACCCCACGTCGATGGAGGAGAAGTGTCTGCTGGAGGCGGACGGCCGCGTAATGACCCTGCGCAGGGACAAGGGCTACAAGTCCAACCACCACGGAGCTCGTTACTCGGCCTGCGTCGACGAGAAAGGTAGTCTCGTCGGGCACCTCCTCGTCAGTCCCACCTATAGTATGTACAATTCGACGATAAAGGGCTGCAACTATTTCGTCGGCGACGACGAGGCCGTCAGTAGATTTTAATGGACGAGGGAATTGTAAAGGCCTGACTGATAAAATATCAGTCGCGCCGTCTCGAATAATCTCGAGTATCGTACTCTCTTCTAGCGCTTCCTCTCCTTTACGATTGTTTAACATTTTCTTTTATATCTATATATATATATATAAAAAAATCTTTTATCAAACTTCGTAAACGAGTCCGTTACTTTTCGTCCCACGAGACTTGATATAAATTCATTGAATGAGCCATCGAACAATGATCGCTCAACAACATTCAACGGATTTACGATTTCACTATCTAATAAAAAGTATTATTTTAGAAATAAAAGACTCTAAAATTTTATACTATGAAATTTTATACAATTTTTAAGGAGATTTGAAATAACGTTTTATTATATATCAAACGAATTTTAAGCATAATCTATGCACTAATTTTTAATTATCATTGTATAAAAAAAAATATACACAACTTGAAATCGATCAACTTTTAAAATACCAGACTTCCTATTACTTTATTCAATTTAATTAAAATTTAATTTCTCGTTTAAATAACTTTTTTAAATAGTGGAAACATAGAGCAGAATTCAAAAATTTCTTAATTACGTACAATTTTTTTCCCTCAATTTTCATGATTTTACAGAATCATAAATCAATAAAATACAGATAAGATAATTAACATAAAAGGTAATTATTATTTACAATTTATGTATTCGCATTATTATAAATTGTGATATTTCAAAGGTATTTTCTTTATATGATAAAAAAAAAATAGTTTTTACATCTTTATTTCTGTAAAGTATATTTACTCATTATTAGTACATTAACTCAAGTTATAATTGATAGATTACTGATATACTACTACAGAATTTATAATTGTCTTTCAAAATATCCAATGCAGTATACTTAATTAAATAGATTTTTTTTTTTTTTTTTTTAAATAATTATTGCATTTAAACGTTAAAATTGAATGCGAATCAATATGGACAATTGAAAAATAAAAATATGAAATCAGAGATATAATAAATAATAAAATATAACTATCCTTACGTTATTATTATTTGTAGAATTAATGAAAGAATCTAGATATATTGTCAATGTCTATATATATATATATATATATATATATATATATATATATATATTATATATGTATAATGTTATAATATCAGTACCTGCTTTAGATACTCAAAATTCGCGGATAATGGTTTAAAATAACCGGTCCATGCATAAGACATAAGGAGTTAATAATATAGTTTAAATGTTTCTATCTGCAAGCTTCCCCTCCCCCCTAATTAAGTAAAATCAACTTTTCGTAAATTTAAATAGATCTCAATTAATGCCTATTCATTTAAAAAAAAGCCTGTAATATATACAATGTTTATTTATGTGCATTACAGTCAAAGTATTATATCTAAATATATTAATTTTAATATTATTCCTACACGTTACATGTACATCTGTTTAATTCGTTAATTGAATACTGTAAATAGTATTTATTTATCATAAATTTAGCTACACAAGTTCATTTTCAAATTTCATAGCTATTCGATTTAAGTGAAAATTCCTAAATATTTTATAATAATCAAATTTTTTATAAGGTGAATAGAACATTAAATAGAAATTATTCGTGTAAATACTCTATAACCCAAGCACAGTATAAAATAATATCTTAACAAGTTTTTACATTGATGATCTCAATAAGTATGATGATGATAATATAATGACAGTAAACATAAAATGTCATGTTTACTTGTATTTTAAAAATTTATAAAGAGTGAGATATGCAATGTTATAACAGTAGAAAAACGTCCGATAATGTGCAAATTCATGATAATCTGTCGAAAAAAAAAAAACATATTTTTGCACTACTGTAGCTAATTAATTAACTACGTAATTAAAAATTATATTAAAAAACATAAGATAATAGATTAGACAATGAAATCTTTTTAAAATAATAAATTCTATAAAATAATAAAGTAACTGATTTTAAAATGTATATTAAAAATGAAAAATAAAAAAATATATAATTAAATTAAATTTATAGAGATGTCATTAAACATAAAATTTCAAATATACAATTGAAAATATAAACCAATATTTTTTGTTTAAAAAGAAACTTTAATATTAAAATTAAGAAAAATTTGACATATTAATTTTGATGATGCATTAATTCAAGTATTCTCATTTACATGAATATTCAATTCTTTTTTTTCTTTTAAATTATCTTAACATTATATTACATTGAAATATTTAACCGCCGTAAAAAATGAAGTAACATTATAAATTTCGCGTTTTATTGCTCTTGTGCGATTTTTCTCAATGCTCAATGTCTCAATGTATTGAAAATATATATATATATATATATATATATATATATATATATATATATATATATATATATACATATTAATTAAACTGTATAACTAAATGTAATGTAACAATTAGTTTTATTGATCTAAGTCGGATTGTAATCAAAATCTCAATCATTTGTGCGATGAAGCTGTTATGATTTCTGAAATTATTATATTTATGTAGCATCGAGATTTTATGTTCGAAAACAAAGATATTTTTTATTACCAAACTCTTATAATATTTATACTAATATTTTTGTTAATCACAAAATTATAAATATAAGTAAAAATAAACATTACAATTAATTTATTTATTTAATTGAAGAAAAATTTACTTAAATAATGTTTTTCGTTTTTCCGTTGTTTTCATATAAATTGAAACATTACTTTTTTATTTCATGTTTTAATTTTGTCCAATGTGTTATTTACTTATATTTATACTTCAAATTAGGAATAAATTGTATTTATTTATATAAAAACAAAGTGCCCGCAGTTATTTTTTATGATTGAATATTGATGCTTTAGAGCGTCAATATGTGACTGCTGCCAATTTATGAACTAAATACGTTTTACTAAATTTGTATAAAACCCACGTTCTTATGTATTATTACAAATAATGCTTTTCAAAAGAAAACAAAAAAAAAACAAAAAAAAAAAAAAACAAAAAAAAAGTGAAATTCTATACTTTTGTATAAAAAGTAAAAAAATAGAAAATCAAAGTGTACATCTTATACCTTTATCAGTATTATAAAGTAACATAGTCGTAAAGACCGAATTCTACTTCGCTTCTCCTCGGACGTGAAAATATATTAATCCATAAGTAATGTTAACATACGTTAATTTATATAAATTTATTGCGCTTAGATAGAATATTCGTACATGTACTACTCATGTAATACTCGTAACATCTTGATAAACATATATGATAAGCAAGAAAATGAACATAAAATGAACATTGTCACTTGATCGAAAATTAAAAAAGACAAATCCAAAATCAATGATAATTATTGTTCTTATTCTTTAAACATTAAAATTGCTTTTTTTTTATGTATTAATTTAGATTGTTAAATTCAAATTAATATCTATAATTTATACGAACAGTACGGTTTTCATTCCGGTTTAACGACGAATACTAATAATAATAATTCGTTTAAAAATAATAATCCAATTAACAAAAAATCACTGAGTAACTGATATTTTTATTATACAGTTAGTGAAATAAGGAAATGCAATTTTTTGCTTTATATTATCTTTACATTTGAAAAGTAATATGTGATTTATGCTATACATCATATAGTGTAATTAATGATAATAACAAGATATAATGTATTTTTATTTAGTGATTATTTTAAAAAGTGCCTCCGAATTTCTACAAAGCATATTAAAAAATAAAATAGAAAATTTAGTTTTCGAAAAAGTGACAATCTCTGGTATCTCCATAAGCGAGGTACTGCATTTTTTAGCGAGATCTCTAAAAATACACTCAATAAAATGAATAAGAACAGTATGAAACATAGTAGTAAATAGGAAGAAATATATTAAGTACATTAAAACGTACCATATAAATAATAACAAATATCTAAGTTCAACACAATAAAAATATAATATATATGTAAATTTTATAAATATCGTTATAAGAATAAATATATATATATATATATATATATATATATGCATACACACACACGCACGCACGCACGCACGCATACACAAATATATATTTATATATATATATATATGTATATATACATATATATATGCATATGTATATGCATAAATATACACACTATATATATATATATATATATATATATATATATGCATAAGCGCCTCACACACCCACACGCGCGCGCGCACACACACACACACACACACATATGATTTTCGTTGTATAAGGACGAATCGTTGTGACGACGTCGAACGTGAATCACGTGCCAAAGCTTAGAAATTAATAATTTAGCATTTAGTACATGCGCGTTTCTCACTGTGGTTACAAAACTGTGAGACCGTAGAAATGAATTATACACTCGTACACCAAATAAAAAAGTGATGTAAAAATAGCTTCACTTTATCTTAGTTACCTGAAGTAAAATTATGTTGAGAATACACTTTTTCAAATCAAACACTTTTTAATAAATCTCTTATTTCTGATTAATTATCAATGAATTTGAATTACAATATTATATTAATAATTTTATAATAAAATTGTAATATTGTATTTATTATATAAATATGATGAATAAAAATATTTTAATTCTGGAGATTTGTCTTATACTTTCAATGAGAATAATAAAGTTTAATCGCTTTTCCCATAATTACAAATAATACAAAATCATATTAATCTATATATTCTACGTGCAAATAAATTGTTTCATCATTAATTCTTTCTCGTAATTTTAATTTTACTTCAGGATGACACTTAACATTATATAGAACAAATAATTAAGAGGTGAGTATGCTCGTAGTTCCATTAAAACACCTTTTTTTTTGTTTAAATATAAACGAAAAATCTGTTAAATCAAATCTATACATGTATTTTTAAAAATTGCATTGCTTTTTATTACTATATAGGGTTTGGCTATTTATTATCTTTAAGTAATATTTATGGCAAAATTATTTATTGCTTTATCACTTAAACAAGTTATTGTATAACTATACTATTGTATAACCATTTATTATAACAATTACTGTTATTATCATTATCATTATTATTATTATTATTATTATTATTATTATTATTATTATTATCATCATTATCATTATCATTATCACTATTAATGACAGATTTGTACACTTTTACCAGTTAAGGAATCATATTTAGTCTGTATAGAATTTTTTAATAAAATTTTTTGATCAAAATAACTATTCTCTATTATCTATTATTTTAAGGATATTTAATGTGCACTAAAGTAATTAATAAAATTATAAAACTAATTTACGGCTTTCATTATTTTCATATATTTGTATAAAATTTATATCTATTTTAATTATAAAAATAAAAAAATAATTTGTCTTGAAATAACACACTGAAAAAAAATTGATTAATTAAAATTAAATAAAAGAAATTAAGATTGAAATTAAATTATTTACTAATTAAATTACAAAATAATGAAGCTGCACCAAGAGTAGTAAATAATTTTCTTTCTCAATCACTTGCAGTTTTATACAAGCATATTTATAAAACATGTAATTTAACAGCTTTAGTAATTATTATTTTTATTACTATATATACATTTATTTATTATTTATTAAATGTTTCAATTTTATAACAAAATTTAATATTCTTATTTTAGATTGTCAAGTAAGTTTATCTTGCTATCCGTACATTATAATAGATTTTAACGTTCTAACCTATTAATGTAGTAGTTTCAATTTTATTAACAAAATAATCAAAACTTTAGGTATTTTTAAAAAATACGAGCATAAAAATGTGTGTAATGTTTATTTTAGCGACCCAATGTCACACGTTTTAAATTACATCAATTAATGATGTTTTAACGTACATTAATAACGCTGTTTATTTATTAATAATTCATTATGATTCAGTAACTGAACGTAAAATACGCATTTATATAGTTACTATTTTTTTTGTTTTTAAATATGTTAAATTTCATCAAAAAACAAAAAAAAAAACAAAAAAAAAACAAAAAAAAAAACAAAAAAAAATTGTGATCATTAAATTAATGACATTGATGAAAATATGTAAGCGGAACTGATGCATCTAAACAAAGTGAATATTTTTTTAACAGAAATTTAAACAGAAATGATTATACGTTTAGTTGTTTAGATTTTTATATTCATTCATAATATGACACTAAAAATTTTATCTCCTTTTCTGAAAGAACAGGTAATTTGAACTTCGAAATTGTATGTTTAATGTTTACTATTTTTTGTATTTAAATGATAAGATATTTTTTTATTTTTGTTTATAGAATTTGCATTTGAAAAGTTATGAATATGAATTATAAAAAAATATAATGGAAAGATTTGAAGTTTCTTAAATAATGTAATCTCTGAAAATAACACTAAGCAAAATATTTTTTAGGAAGCATCTATTAAAATTATTTCGATTATTGATAATTATAACAAATGAAAGAACTTTATTTTGCAAAATTAATGTCGAAATTATAATATGATTCGAGTCGAGACATTTTAATGAACAAATTGGCCGTCTCTACTAGTTATATTGTAACATTAAGTATACAAATAATTATACTAATTTTTATCATCAACTAGCAATTTGTTGTACGTTTGAATACAATAAATGGTTTCAATATTATTTTACTTATTTCATAATTATAAAAACCTTAAATAATTTTGTATATAAATTACAATAACTATCATTAACAGAATAATCAATTTAACGTCACTCTAATAAAATTTTTACTCAGCTGGAATTTTCATAAATTAATTATTCTTTACGAACTACATTTCAGTTCAATAAATACAACTTTAAAGAAACTAAAATTTATTCATTCGATATAAGAATCATCAAAATTATTAAAAGTAAACTCAATTATACAAACTACGAATAATAAGTCGTCATTAAAGACAAACTTTAATCAAATTTTATTTATAAATTTCTTCTGCTTTCTTTTAGTATATTTATAAATAGAATTCAAATCATCCAATATATATATGCACAAATTCAAAGTGCACGCGAGAACAAGCAAATCAAAACTACGCGATGGAACGTTAATCAAATAAAAACTACTTGCATAAACCATAGAAGTACTTTATACAGCATACAGCCTCTAATTCTGAATCTATTAAACATCCTTTTGTTGTTTATTTATACAGACTATTTTTAATATATTTTCATTTATTTAATCTTATGAAACTAGAAATTTTAATTATTAATATTAATGTGTTCTCTCGTGAACTTAAAATATATAGAGGTATTTCGTTGAAGTAAATTTAACTCTTTCAAATGAAACAGAATCACAATTTACCCTTTGATTCGTCAATCAACAAACTATTACTCATCGCAGTAATAATGCGAATAAAAATTCATAAATTTTTGTAACTCGCAAAACGAGAAAGGGTGGATTCGGTGCGATAATGAAGTCAATAAGTATGTAGGCTCTTATACATTTAAAAACCACAACACGCTTGGTTTTTTCCTTGCTATTATTCTTGCTTTTAGATTTTCCTGGAACGTCCTGACGATTTTTACTAAAAGCTTTCTTCGCTGCTCATGTATCAGGTAGCCCTCGCGTGCACCTCCATGTGTATTATCAGGTCCTCCTTCGAGGGATACCTTTTGTTGCAAAGCTCACAGAAGTGATTGTGATTTGAATGCATGTGCTTGCGCAGTAAATCTTCCGAGTCAAAAATTAATGGTGTTGGGCAGTAATCGCAAATGTAGCAGCAAAGTTGGCTACTCGGTGTATTATGACATTGCGCCATATGATCGATCAGCTCGGTGCTCGAGGTACAACAAATATTGCAGACACGGCAGATGTACCGTTTGTCTAAGCTGGAGTGCACTGGCGGTCGACTGGTAGGTATCGCATGACGCGTCCTCTCGGGCATCTGACTAACCGGTACATGTTTTATAGGAAGACGTTGCTGTTGCTGTTGCTGTTGCTGCAGTAAATTGCTCGATATGGCGGAGAGTTGCTGATTTATGTGGTTCTTCTCGTGGGCACGGAGTGCTGAGATATTATCGGATCGAAATGGACAACCCTTGAGCTTACAGGTATACATAACCTTTGATGATTGCTGTTGAGAATGATGATAATTTGGATTTGCGATAATGCTCCCCCCACTGTAGCTCATTTCGCTGGAATTTCGACTGTAATTCTTGTACTGGCTGTGTTGTGAATGTCTGATCGCTTGATGATTTGGCGGTATTCTAGAGTTGTTTACATCCTCGTTCAGATTGTACGGGATTCGGGGGGCCTGTTATTTAAAAAAAAAAGTAGTATTTGAGTAATTTAGTTTCAAGAAAAATGAATTATTAATGCGTCTTATAAGGATCTTGTAAAACCAAATTTTAATAGCTCACGGCTTATAATAATCTGTTTAATGTATAAACTATTTTAACGCACAAAACTTGTGCTCGATAAAACAGTTTTTGGAAACGTGAGATTAGACACGACTCAGTAAACAATTTTATAAAAAATTTTTCACTGTGATATATTAATAATTCAATCATATTGATTATACGTTTTAATACTTGAAAAAAAAATGTTACATTTAATAAAGATAAAATGGAAATACTACATAAATTTTTGGCAATTGTCATTAATAAAAGTAATTTATAAATTAATTGATAAGGAAAATAATTAGAATTCTAGATGGAATTCTGGACATTCATATAAAGTAGTAAGGAAATTTTCGAAACTTAGTATTGGCAAGAAATTTTTTATAATCTTGTAATAATCAGTGGCATGAAATGAAATTGGAAGGGTTTAACACCGCAAACTTACGGTCTGTCGATGTTCCGAGCCATTTCCGAAATTTGGCAAACTCTGCTGTGGTATCCTCGTAGCAGCACCCGAAGGTCGCTTCGGCGTCGGGACCGAGCTACCTGTCGTGTTTCTCTCCGGCAACTGTATCGAGCTTGATCGACTAGGCGTCATTGAATTGGAGGTACTAGGATATGCGGGTGGTGGACCTCGGGACACGTATGTACCATTTGCATTATTCAAGTTAACCGGTCGTCGTAAGACACTTGATTGATGTGCTGACTTTTCACTTTGTGACTGCTGATGGTGTTGCTGCTGATGATGTTGTGGCTGATGGTGTTGTTGCTGATGGTGTTGTGGCTGATGATGTGACTGATGGTGTGGTGGCTGATGGTGCGACGGCTGGTGGTGCGGCGGCTGATTGTGCAGCGGTTGATGGTGCGATAACTGATGCTGTGGTGCGTGATGGTGTGATTGCTGATGGTGTAGTTGCTGATTATGGCGACTATATGCGTTATATTGCAAGTTTGGTTGGTTAGCATTATACGTATCGTTGCAAGATGCAAACCAGTAAGAGGGATGATGCTGCTGTTTATATTGTTGATATTGCTGTTGTTGCAGTGGTTGATACAATTGATTGGAAAGAGCCGAGGCATTGGATTTGTTATACATACCTACGGGTTTACATACAAGAACATGTTAAAAGGAAACGGCATTAATAAATTTTAGCATGCATTTTTACATATTATAAAAAAAAAACATGTCGACAATGTAATTAAAAAAAAAAAAAAAAAAAAAAAAAAAAGCAGAAACTTAAAATGCGTATGTACTTATACGTGTGTATATGTGTGTAAAGAATATTAATCATCATCGCAACAAACGTTAATGTGTACAAGAATTGTCATTTTTATAAAGATTTTAAAATATTAAATAAAAGCTTGGGTGTTTATAATAAGATATTAATGAAAATTAACTTTCAAAGATATAAGTATACTTTTAATATATTCAAGTTAATTACTGTCTCTATATGCACGTGCACTCTATAAGATTTATTTAATTTTACAAATGAAATTTGAATTGTAATTACATTGGAAAATGAAAAAAAACTTCTAAATCAATAATCTAATTGATCAATTAATAACCGAAATGATGATATATATATATATATTATCTTACCATAGGTTGGCCACTAGGTGTCAATAAAGCCAGTTTATGACTGGCCTGTGAAATTAACATATTTTGAGAATCATTTAGCTCTTTGTTATTCTGTGCAAGCATTGGAGAGATCATCTGCACTGGCGTCATTCGATTAGCTTCGCCGATTATTTCATGCTGGCGCGAATGCTGATCAAAAGCATGTGGCGTATCGAAACTCAAACCACATGTGGAGCACAAATGAATTTTCATATGCTGCAATTCAGCTATCGAACGCACACGTAGAAACTTGGAAGATTTTGCCGAAGAAACCTCGTTCTTCTCGGTTGTCTGTTGCTTCTGCTGGTTAGTGTTGGATTTTACTATATCCAAACCTTTATCCGCCGAAGAAATTCTGTTCCTATCATTTACAATCAGTGATTCGGAATTGGAGTTTTCGCTTAGATCGTCAGTTACGAGTACCACCTCGAACGGCTGTGGAGTCAAGGAGTCCATACTAACGGGTGTCGCGGTGCCACCGGAGTTATCTTTGTCAAGAAGAGTACCGTCGTTGTTATTATTAATTGTCTGTAAAGAGCTGTTTGTACCTAACAGCGACTCGAAGTTCGGATTCACCATTGTCATATACGATTTTTTTGATGCGATTACTGAAACAATTTAAATATTTTCTTAGTAATCTTAAATGAATCTTAAAACATAAATTTCTATGATATAATAATGTTTTATACGGTAGATTTCTAAAATACGGAAAATACGGTATTCAGTAATAAAATTAAAAACTCCCGCAAATTCCTTTAACAGATTTTCTTTCAGACTTTAATAAACGGTAATTTAGCATACGATATTAAAAATATATTTACTTATGAATGTCATTTGATTCATTGAGACACCGCTTAGGTTTCGTTATTCCATCTTTCAACACGTAATTTTTCCCTCCCAAAATTGTACACACATGTTACATTAGTCACGTAAATAATAATAATGAAAATGACAGTGCTAGTTATAATAATAATGATAATGATACCGATGGTGATATTTGTGGCAGTAGTGATATGACAATAAGGTATCGACGATGATCACGATATCAACAACAATAAATTGTTATAAAAATAAAATATAAACAAATTGTAATAAACAAATAAATAACTACTTTTTAAATGTACTGGGAGAAATATTAATTTAGGTATTAAACAGACTATTTACATTAATGTAAGAAATAGGTCAAATAATTCTGCACTCGCTCGTTATAATTAATACTACATATAAAATTTAAGCCTATTATGCGCGTTTCCATACTCATATCCTACACCATTATTTCCAATTTGATTGCTTTTTACATTAATTAGAAAAGAACAATGATACATTACCAGCATCGTTGCCACTCGTACCGGATTTATCCCTCGCAATAGGCGCGGGGGAATCGGACGAGGGACTGTTGGATCGCGAATCGATGAGTATCGTTTCGACGCTCGAATTCGTGGTACAGTTTTGCTCGGGAGGCTGTGGCTGATCAAGCGCCCTCTGGGCGAGCATATTGCGCAACATGGAGTTGGAGCCACGGGCGAGTGAAGTATTCGTACTGCTGGAGGCGATGCTCGGCGACGAGCTCGTTGGATTATCGCTAGCGGTGCTTGAATTACAAGGCTGCAACGACTGCTGACTTTGGTTCTTCGGTGGCGCTGTACAATTACAGAGAAATCAGAATTATAAATTGACGCCCTAACTGAACTCTTAACGGCAAAACAAAATTCATAATTAAACGCATCAATTTATTTTACTCGCGATTGCCATCCGCTCGAAATACTAGACTAAATGTCAGTAATAATCATAAAATTTCAAAAAAAAAAAAAAAAAAAAAAAAAAAAAAAAAAAAAAAAAAAAAAAGTACTCATTATAACTTTAATTACACATATTGCATGAATGTTACAATTTTTGTCTTTTGGTGATTTTTAAAATTTAGTTAACTTATTTATTATTATTATTATAAACGTGATTTCATAATTTATCCGCAATATATGCAGAGGAAAAAAGGATTTACAATGTAATATCACTATTCTATTGTATTTTTATATTTATACCGTAATATATATATATATATATATATATATATATATATATATATATATATATATATATATATATATATATATATATATATATATATATATATATATATATATATATATATATATATATATATATATATATATATATATATATATATATATATATATATATATATATATATATATATATATATATATATATATATATATCGTATTTCCATTCTCGACCATCTTTATAAGCAGTTGAGATTTGTATTTCGTACAGACTATAAGAAATCAATGATTTTAACATTTCAAACATATATTAATATTTCAATGAAACAAGTATAAATAATTCGATATTTCGACTAATTTCATTTATCATCCACCTCATATAAATAAAATTAATGAAAAAAAAAAAAAACTTAAAAATATGGAAAATAAACTATAGTTACAATTTACGTTATAATATTGATAATTAAATACTTAATGACTTGATTTAATATGATTTTCAATCGCGTTAAAATGAAACGTAAATTAAATACAAGAGAAAGTGAACACTGAAAAATATTAACCTGGTAATATTGGAACAACTCGTTTGTTATTAACACCTGGATAATGCACATATACAGGATGCACTTTCCTACCACCGTCAGAGGCCACATGTTTGTCAGCTACCCACATGGTCGTCATTTGCTGTTCGATTGGCAATCCTGCCAACGATGTATTAGCGCTTTTATTTTGAGATGATCTCTTTTGATGTACGACCTGATGCTCCTTCATCGACTTTTCCGTTTCGAAACCAAACCTACAGATATTACAAACGTACCTCGCAGTAACAAAATATACAAGACACGTAATGACCTCACTCTTGTGAACAATACGGCAATGTCTTTCGAACTTGTCGTAAGTATAATTCGTAACATCGTTCGAGGGCACAACGTTACAAGTTTTGCAGGTATAAAGCTCCATTATAGGACTGTGAATGCGTTTCCAGTGCTCTTTCAAATCGTCGAGAGATTTGCTAACGGCACGACATAGACTACAAACAAAGGCCTGTTCGTTGGCATTGATGGGCAGACGAGAAAATTTCGTTATTGGAGTTTTGAGATGATTTCGTTCGCTGCAATGTCTATCAAAGTTCTCTTTGCTAACGTAGTACTTTTTGCACAGATCACAAATGAGTTTTATCATCTGCAGACGATTACTGTCCGGACCATCGGTACGTGGAGTCGATTGCTGCGATTGGCAAGGACGGGTCTTATGCTTTAAAAGTTCAGGCTCCGAACTGAATGGCAGCCTGTTGAAACAAAAGCGTTATTAATCATCGCACAAAAGTCTGAAGAAAAATATTTTTTTTAATTGACATGCGTATATTTATGCTTTTTTTTTTTTTTTTTTTTTTTTTTTTTTTTTTTTTTTTTTTGTTTCAAGTTGTAAAAACTTGCTTTAATTACTTATAGAGAGACGATTAATTTTATCCTTCGGTAAAGCAAATTATAACAACAACAAAATACACGCGCACATTCATCGACAAATAATATATTCGTTTGAGCATTAACGATTATGCTATTAATTAAGAATGAATGTTATAAAGAAAAAAATGTTCGAATAGATTAGATAAATTACTAATCAATTGATTAAGTCAATAAGATAAGTAGGCGATATTAGGAAACTATCAACTATTTTATATCGATTTTATATACCTGCATTGTCTACAAACATGCTCAGCAATGTAGAAAAATCCCTCCTGGCTCTTACTTGTCGTTATGGCGAAATTCGAATCTTCCACCACCGAGACAACGGATAGTTTTGGAAAAGAGTATCGACTGGCTACAAAGTTCGGTGACTTTGTATGGTTGAACCAATGTGAATAAAAAATTCCACCAACGCCGAAGAATGCGACTTTGCAAATGTTGCAGATAAAAGTAACAGTTCCCTGACAATTTTTTCTCGCGTGCATTTCCAAATGCATCCTCATGTCCATAAGAGAATCCAACACGCAAGGACATCCACTGCAAAAAAGCTTCGGTATCTTTGTCACTTCGTTGTTGGTACGTTGGCGACGGCACTCCAAGTTCATTCTATAATGTACCTCGAAGCAGTCGCGACGACGGAAGACAACGTTACAAGTCTTGCACAACAGCACCATCTCTATTTGAAGATCTTGTGGTATCGTTTCGTGTTCATGACAAGAGCATATCGTTACAGTCTTAGAGCACTGTATCCTCATGGATATTTCGCTCTCATCGACAAGAGTTTCATTACATTCTAATTCTATCAACTATAAACAAAGCAATACATTCTTATGTTAATATCGATCATTGGTAATATAATTTATAAGTTACGTTACTTGGATTATTATTTCATCGCGTAAGTCATTGATTGACCTTATACATCATTATACCGTATACATACAAATTTCTATGCTCGACATGAAATACCTTTTCAAAAGTTATTTAATTTATTATAAATAATGTTCTAATAATGTTCTAATAAAATTGCTTCCTTACGTTACACCGTATATTATAAAATACTAAAGGAAATCTAACCTGTTGTTGTGCATCTACCGTTACTACTGGCCCAGTTCTGGTACACGGGGTATTATTTAATGGATTTTCAAAAATTAAATCTTCGACATCCACTGACGACCTGCTACTTCGATTACTACTATCAGTACTCTTGTTCCTCGTTTTATTCTGTATTTCTTTATCGTGCGAATCTTCTGCCGTCTGTTGCGTTGCTTTATCCGACTCCTCGGACATGTTGGAAGATCGCTCGCTTTGTTGCTTCTTCGCTTTAGCTTTCGCCACTTTATAAGCCTCTTGCAATTCTTGTTCATTGTGCGTCATTATGTGATCGAAAAGCTCTTCCTTAGAATTGAATGTTATAGAGCATATCGTACATTTGAGGCTCTCTAAAAACTTTAACTTTCTCTTACACTTCTCTGGCATCGCCTTTTTCGAACATGAACGACCAGAAGCTTGAGCTTTATGCTTAATACTGGACTTAGACGTACTAGCACGCGCAGAGTCGATACAACTGGCTGCTGCATCATTATCTTTATGATTAGCTGACTGATGTTGTCTCAATAAATTCTCAGCGACGAATATTCTATTACAAACAGAACAACCGTACATCGTTGTACCATTTACCAAAATTGCATCGTGCACCGACAGCTGCTTATCACACAAATTTAATTGCCTCTGATTGTTATTATCAACTGCTTGATCATTTAACTCAATTGTCTGATCTTTCTCCTTCTCGTTTACACTATTTGATGGACTATTCAAAACTTCCGATATATTAATAGCACCGAAATTCCGTTGTTCTCCAGGCTCAGTATCTACGAGGGTGGCTATTGCAGACTCCAAAGTAGTAAACGATGAAAACGTACTTTCAATTTGTTTCGTATTAGATTTTGCAGGAGATTTTACTTTTACTTTATCTACATTATCTTCTGTATGTACATTATCTTCAGATTCAACCATTGTAACCAACTTTACACTTTCCTGTTGCGAATCAATATCAGATACGCAATCAGAATTATCGATTTGGTCAACGTGCTTCTCAACAATCGCTTCGGGTGGATGGTAATTTAAGGAATTACGCCAAGTATCACAGGTAAAATTTGAATTCATCAACATATCAATGTACTTTCCAGTTAACAACTCTATTTCACTAGCTGAATAATCTTCAAAACTTTCGCAAATCATTTCCAATCTTATCAGTTCAACCTGTTAGATTAGAAGTATTTTATCACAATTAAAATGTACTATCCGAAAAATTTAATTATAACTAAAAAAATATGTGTAATAATATTGTGTAATAATATAATTATGTGATAGTACTGTTTATATAAAAACAAATCATTATAATAATAATTTGAAGTAATGTGACAAATTATTTTAATAATACTTTTGCTTTAATGACAAAAAAAGCAGCTTCAAATCATTAAAAAGCTCTCATAGAAAATAATTTGAATTTAATAATTAATATGCTTTTAGATATAAAGTATATATTCTATATTTAGAATTATAATATATGTAATTTTTACTAAATTTATATCTAAAGCAAGAAATAATTTGGAATTAAAAATAGTTGTCTTTTCAAATTCATTAAGTACAATTAGTCCCTCATACGTTGTCCCTCGCACAATTACATATTATTAAATATTATTTTCAATTAATAATGCGTTAAAAAAATAAAATGAAGTTTCAACCTTGGGATTTCTAAGCGGAATGCCGCCATCGATTGTCCGCTTATAAATGCTCGATGGTTCGAACTTCAATTCAGAATTGCTAAGTTTTTCTACTGTATTGATTTTGGACTGTTTAGACGACCTTGACGATACAACCGATTTATGCCTATTAATACGTGTATTCTCTTTTTCATTTCGAGATAAAATACTTGAAGCATTTCTTTTATTAACAGAAAACTCATCTATTTTGGATACTTTGGACTTCTTGCTGTTGCTCTTGTTCGAAACTTTAAACGTCGAGGAATTTCGTTCGTTCTTAACATCAATATTCAAAATTGGTGCTCGTACATTGTGGCCAGAAATATGCTCCTCCTTCTGCGTCAATTCGGTTTGTTGCAAGATTTTAAGATGTCCAGCAGCTAAAATCCGACTACGTGATCTAAGTTGTATACGATTCATACAAAACTCATCTGCCTTTATATCCTTGTTTTCGTCATTACGCTATGATAGTTGGAAAAATAAAGCACATTTTCGTATAATAGAAATTGTTTTGAAAAAAAAAAAAAAATAATAAAAAATTTTTTTTAAATCTCCAATCCATTTTTCAGCCTCGTAGATAATTATATTTTTGTTATTATTTTATTTGTCTTTATTCTAATGAAACGCACCACGACATTAGTTGTCGATATATCCTTACACTAATGTCATTGAGGAGAATATTTATATTTAATTCGAAAAATTTATAATATTTATTTTATATCAAATACTGCCTTTTAGAGAGTAAAAAAAAATCAGAAGTTAAATTGAAAATTTTTATAAATATAATTTAATATATCATATAAAGAAAATATTTCTTCTTGAATGGTAAGAAAATTAATTCATTTCCATCGTTATTTTAAAATGTAATATTTAAAATCAAAGAAGAACCATTAATAGGCGGATTTCTGTACTTAATAGAATACAATAAAATACCTTAATTCAATGAAAGTAAATAAACAATGTTTTTTCAAAGTTCAGAAATTATAAATTTATGATAATTCTTAGAAATAAATGAACAAGCGCAATTTACATATACAAAAAGGTATAATAAACTTACAATTTGAGAGTGTTCGTTAAGAGTTTGTTCGTCAAATTTATTCAACGAGTCTGAGCTGAAAATTTTGTGGATTGGCTGAACGCTTTGTTTGCCCTCGACATTCTCCGAGACGCTAGTAACCCGAGATCGAGAAGTATGATCGAAAGTGTCCGAATCTTCGATCGCGTGGCTTTCTGATCTATTGCTCGAATTGGCCACATTACTGCTATCATCTCCTTTACTCTGAGTTCTATTTTGTAAACCGATGCGAGTAAATTCCTCTACTTCCATGTCGTTCTCATCCATCTCTTTGCTGCCGTAGATTTTGAAATTTTGGCGTTCCCGCAACGTCAGCCGTCGAGTCTATGTGTCAACAGGCGTCACCATAAAAAAATTAGGAATCTAACACCCACTTCAATTTTGTTTGTTTCATCAGTCGTTTTCATGTATAATGTAAAATAAGAAGTAGGTCTGTAACTGAGAAGTATCTATAAAAAATCTTGTATTTTCAGTATACATATTTAAAAGCGTTTTTTTTCTGTTTTTTTTTTCTGTTTTTTTTTTTTTTTTTTTTTTTTTTTTTTTTTTTTTTTTTTTTTTTTTTTTTTTTGCAGGAGTAATGTACAAATATAATAAATATTATTTGACATATTATAAATGTATGAAAACGAATAAAACAATATCTGTTTTCTTGGTGTTACGCTTTAAATCTTACTAGTCCTTTCCTTTTTATTTTTTGACTCGTAAAAGTATTGCACTCTATTAAATTTACTTAATTGTATAAGTTATTATCACACTTCATTACAAATAATATAACTTAACAAGTTGAAATTAGCAATTCCTTCAAAAACACATAGCAAACTAACTCACGATCTGTACATAAAGCTCTTAAATAAAAATCATTTATTTTTCTAAAAATGTAAAAAAAGAAAAATTTAGATCACTGACATTATTAATTATATATAAAATACAAAATTTTCAGAAATAATGCAAATTCTGTTAGATTGAATTGCTTTTTAAATAGAAACTAAACTGTTTCCTATGGTAGACATATAATAATATAATTGTCGTAATTGACATCACACATCTTTCTATTGTTAATGAGATTGAATTTCAACTCTAAGAGAATAATAAACTATAACGGAATCATAAAGGACTACCGAGCAATATCCTGAAAATAATCTTTAAAATAAAACGATAAAACCAAGTAATAAAATAAAATATATCATCTATAATTCTATAACTAAAGTGAAGTATCGTTTATGGAAATTAAGTAAAAACCCCAGATGTATTCACAATCGTAAAATAAAATAGTTAAAGATAACTATTAAGGGCTTTTAACAAGATGTACTAATTACAATCGATAGTAATTGATAGTAAACATAACAAAAATTTTTATTAAATGCAGTCTAAAGTAAAGATTTTAATAGTATATATATAAGATGCAAGGCAATGTGCCGAGAATATTAATTAATGATAGTAAAAATAATTTCATAATACAAATAATCACATCATTTTTCTGACATTAAAACAAGGCCTAATAAAGTACGTAATTTTAAATGGGAATTTTTTTACGTTTAACAAATAATATACTAATCGTCATAGACAACAAACTTGTTTATAGATATTTTTCGAACACATATTTTTAAATGTAAATACAAAATTTGTACAAGTTTTAAAAAATTTTTTAATTTAAACTATTTTTTCGCTGTCGATAATAAGAATTTTAAAGAAATATTGCGAAAAATTAGACAAAATTGAAATACCTTGAAGCATCAATAACTTATTAATTGATTAATAAAAGCAAACAAATAATCAATCAAATATATACAGTATTAAATACAGGATAATCATAGTGACAAAGAAAAAAAACTTTTACTATGATTTTTATGATCTTGTTGACTTTCCCGATAATCTTAAAGATTATTTTTGAGTAAAAGCAATAAAAATATTGACAATAAAATATAGCTCGATAAAATCGTTAAGAAGTAACTAGAGTTAAAAACAAAAAATAATTATATTAAACTGAATTACTTTAACAATGTTTATGCAATAAAAATATTTAGTGTCATTTTTATTTTCAATCTAATAAAAAGCAATTTAGATATTGAATATTGTTAAAAGAGAATATTATTATTATTACAATTATTATTATTAAGAAAGAATATTGTTAAAAGTGAATATTATTATTATTACAGACGTCTCATAAATTTATTCCTAATAAAGTAGATTAATAATTAAATAGATTAAGTAAAAAAGAAATCAATCTCCCAAATAAGCAAAATATAACGAACCTGCAAGTGCATTCTTTGCTGCTTCAAGATAGATGAACCTGATTCATTTATCTCGGAATCACTGTAGTCTTCTATATAATTCACTCGACGCTTTCTTCTTTTACCGTGAAAAATATTCAACGACTCTACGAAGCTTCTACTAAGTGGTCTTTTTCTCAATCTGGTTCTAAATTCTGTTGGAAATTCATCGGCATTTTTGTCCATTTCTTGATTAACTTTGCCTTCAACGTTCGTTATGATTCCTAGTTGTCCATTACTATAGCTCATACTGGAGGTCATATTACGTGCATTACAGTTGGATAAATCATCTTTGGCTGTTTGTTCATTTAAGTTTATACTAGATCCATAACTCCAACTATTTAAACTCGTATTTATTTTATCACCGCCGAGTTGATTCTTTGTAGAAGGAAGTAAATTGTGTTTAACTTTTGTATCGAAGTCAATCTTCTTAAAATACTTGAGGACTAATGGATCTTTGATGTACTCCAATTTAGTGAGTACGACAAAAACATCTTTTATTATTTCGTTTTGAGATTTCAAATATTCGTTATTATGCACATTACTATGTGCGTGTTTCAAACAATTTAAAGAAAATAACGAACAAATAGTCCCTCCTGAACAAGCAGGAAAAATGCTGGATTTGCTGTTTTTAAGCGGGTCCGAGGATATTTTTATTGAACACTTTGTAAGACATCCGTCCACCACCTATGGATATTAAATTTATATTTAAGCAATGTTTATACTAATACTCAACATCAAATAATACATAAAATGAGGCATTGGTTATCAATCATTTTTAAAAAAACTTTAGGATTCATTTATCTTTAGTTCATCGTAGATAATTTAAGATAAAATATTAATTTTTTTGTTTTTTTTTTTTTTGTTTTTGCTAAACGTATATTGATAAATTTATTTATATCTAGAAATATATATATATATATATATATAATTATTATATAAAGTTTTTTTTTTAATTCTAAGAAATAGAAAATGTAAAAACTTAAATATTACATTTTTCAGATTTTAATTCTTAATATTTTGTTCTTGAACAAAGGCCGATATATTTTTTAAATAGAAATAGTAATATTTATATTTTTTTTAACAATATTTACTTTACAATAGTAATATAAAGGATGGTATAAGAACAGCAAATGCTTAATAGTTATTGTCTATTACTCTTATTGAATAAAATGAAAAATTGTTAAACTTTTTCTTCTTTCACATTCAAAAAATAATCAAAAATACAAAATAACATTTTTATAGTGTGAACTAAGAATAGTGTATCCAGTAGTCAATTTATGTTTTCGGATTCAATAATATTTCAGAAACTATTATTGTCTCGAATAAATCTAAAATTAAAGTCTTTGGCTAACATGAAAAATATATACATCTTACAGAGAAATTTTACAACAATTAAATACTATGTCTAATAACAGAAAGAAATTTGAAATATATTAAATCATTCTCACGGCAAAGACCTTAGTTATTTATTTATTTTTATAAAAGTGAACAATAGACAATTTGTCGACCGGAAAAATGCACTCAATCAAAAGGCAAAAACTTGATACTCTAATAACGAATATGCATTACTTTAAATAAATCAATTTTTGTAAATATATAGTCCTAAATAAATTCTAATGTTTCTAAATAAATAGTTTAATAAATAATAGGAGCAACATAAAATAGTTACTTATTTGTAGCTCTAATTAATAATTTAGATGTTACCATATGCACAATTTAATATCATGTTATTATGTACTCTGAAAATTCAATTTGATGTTCTAAAAAAGAATATGTAAAAAAAAAATAAGTCTCAGAAAATATAATAAAATACTTAAAATTATCACAAGCATGGATGAAGATTCTTCTGAAAAATTTTGATTCTGACTCAGATTTTATTAAGACGTTTATGATGATACTACATATAAATTATAAACCAATAGAACTCACATTTTTATTAAAGATTATGTTTAATCTGATTAATTAATATGTATAAAAAATATCAAAAGCAAACTTGAGAAGACTGTGCAAGACTAGAGCAAAAAATATGAGTACCCTTATATGGTTGAAAAACGAGTAAACAACGACCAAATCATTGGTGGTTTTTCATTCATTTCTTTTCATAAGGCCAAGGCTGACAAACGACCATCCTATTCCCAAAAAAATGGATTATTACATTCTTTCATCCTTTCAAAATATCGGATAATTAAACGTTTTACTACATGAATAGCTAAATTTACTAATCTTAAAATGACCATATTATTTATAAAAGGAAAAAAATTAAAGTAAAATTATTAAAAACTGAAATCAGTTAAATGAATTAGAATAGATAGTTGGTTATTCTTCAATAGCAATGTCAATATTGTGTCGGATTGATGCAATATATGTTAATTGTTAAGTTTGAAAAAGATAAATAAATCAATAAGGAGGAAGAGAAAAAAGAAGAGAGAGTGTGTGAGAGAGAGAGAGAGAGAGAGAGAGAGAGAGAGAGAGAGATGGTAATGATTCGATGTCATTCCGACGACTTCAGGCAGTATTTCTAATTGTGAGAAATGTCGAACGTATCGTATATCAACAAACGATTGAACTTCTTTCATTTTCTTTGGAAAAACAAATGAAACATGTGAGGACTACTTGAATCAAATCTTACACATGCGTACTCTCTTCTTTCTTTCTCCTTCCTATCCTCGCATCGTATATTATACTGCCGAACCGTTAGCTATACATTAGTAAATTTTTTTTATAAATATAAATTTTACATCTTATTATATGATGAATTATCTAAGTGTATTTTTTTTTTTTTAATGAGCTAAGCAAGGTTCAATGGTAATATATAATGTGACAAAATCAATAAATGGAAAATAATTATCATCTTTAAACTCAATTAAATGTAAAAAATAAATACTTTAAAATTGCTAATGAGATGTATATTATATATCATAAAATTGTAACGTAACAGAACATTTTTACTGTCAAAAACAAACAAAAATTAATCAAACAAATATTCCTGGATAAATCAATCAACATAAACTAATACCAAACAAAAGACAAAAGCAATAATTATATTGTGTATTCTAAGAACAATTATATATCCTAAGAACTAGAGATGGAAATTAAAGAATACTCTACTCCTATTATAATATAAACAAATTTAATACATTAAAACTTGAGTTTGTAAAGAAAAAAACAATATTTGTGACAATTAGATACATAAACAATATTCTATAAATGTTTCTAAAGTTAATTAAGGAAAATATCATAAGCACTTTTGAAATGTCTTTGAAAATGATGCAGCTAAACTTTTGATTAAAATTTAAAAAATATAATAGTACTAATTGAAATGAGTAAAAAGACAACTTTTTAAAAGTATTACTAGTGAGTTTGCAAACATTGGAATAAAATACGACCTGTTTGTCATATAATAAAACAATTTCATAATGCACTGATAAAGATTCTGTAACAATAATTTCCATTTATAAGTGATAAACAATCGAAAAACAAATATTTGTTAAAACTAATATGGAATTTTTACTCCAAAATGTCAGCACGTTTTGGTGATGAAACCAGTAATCCTAATGATATTGCAATTTCTCTTTATAAGAAATTTAAAGAAACTTAATTATTACAGAAAATATAAACAATACATCTTATAATTAGATTGCAAAAATAAAGTTACATATTGAACTGATTCTATATAAAAATAAATAATTTTATCAATATTAAGCATAAAAATTAAATTAACTATTCACAACTAATTTAAAAATTTTAAAATAAGATTAAGTATAATAAAATATACATTTATTTATATATTAGTATACTTCAATTACCTGTTGTGCATTTTCAGATCTATTGCTGGGTCGTTTTCTTCTGAACTTCCATTCTCCATTTTGTACTAATTTATTAGAACTTCCATTACCAAGATCAACAGTATCAATAGTCATAGTATTAAGTAATCCATTTTCTATCTTTTCTGGAATGTTTGTATCTTCATTTTGGTTTGACATTTTCTTTGATTCATCATCTAAATGTAATCGATCTGGAACTTTTTGATTTAATAAATTTAAATTATTAGGTAACTTTGCGCTGGTTTCAGGTGTATCCTGAGATTTTACTTTATTCACTAAATGTACAAAGGATAATGTTCTACTACAATTAGGATAATTTTTACCCAAATATGGTTGTATTCTTTGACAGGACAACATTTCTTCATTATCTTCATTACACAAAGGATTCTGTAACTTCAAACTTAAATTATTAGGTAAACAGGTAAAATTTGCTTTAAGTTCAGTTTCAATACAAGAATTTATCTTTATATCATTATCTTGCACAGAACAATTTAATTTACTTCCATCTTTTAATGAATCAATTACATTTGATTCTGCATTTATTGTAGTATTTAATCTTATATCAACATCATCGTTAGAATTAGTTATTGTATCTGAAATTTCAGAAGAAATGAGTTGTACATTTACATCTTTCTGAGAAAAATCTGATGTTATTTTTATATTTTTTGATGACTCGAATTCAATATTTGTATCACTCTTAATGCAGTCAATTTCTATCAATTTTTTAGATATACTAGATGATGCATTTTGTAGATTTTTGTTTACAAAAGGTACTATACGCCTGCAAGTTGGTAATTCGACTTTAATATTTTCTTTGGTTTCGATAACATTTTGCAATATACTATTTGATTCTAAAACAATCACTTCCTTTTGTGTATTTTTCAAAGTACCTACTATACTTTTATCAATATCGACTTCCTTATCAACATTATCTTTTAAATCATTACAACTCTCAATGCTCAGTTCACTTTTACTATTTTTTATAATATCTGCGTCATCATACTTTTTTATAATTTTGTTGTTCTTGAAAATGTGATTTTCATCATATTGGTCTAATAAATCTTTTTCGTCAACATCAAGATTAATATTATTATTATTGCTGTTATTATTGTTATTGTTATTCTGACAGTATGGTTCATTTTCTTGTTTCAAAATTGTTTCAATATTTAAAATTCTAGCTTCTCTAGTATTCAATTTGCCAACAAATTTTTCGGTTCTTCTACAACTAAACTTTTCTTCTGGAATAGATCCATTATCTGGCTTGGTTTCAAAATCCCAATTGTCATCAAAAAACATCATAGGTGGAACTTGTCTCCCACTTTTTCTCCTTTGTACCTCATCCTTACATAATGTAGATTTTAATCGATCTTCGCTAACTAAATCTTTCATTAATATATCCTCCTTTTCCGAGTTATAAATTCTAGTATCAACATCTTCGTTTCTATTGTTTATCTCACTAATATTTTCATTTTTTAGTACCCCTATGTTTTCTTCTTTATTAGATTTTTTTCTTTTTTTTTCAATTTTGTCTAACCTCCATTGAAGCTTTTTTTTACAATTTTTATCCTCTATCGAAGAATTTAATTGAGGCACAGTTTTTGGGGAATGACAAGTTGCATCTACAGAAGCCGATTTACATGATGTAAAATCTTCTTTAGATTCTAACTCTTCAAACCTGTCTTCATTTCTTCGATTTCTCATTTTTGTTGCAAACACTGTATTATAAAATTTTTTCATTGAAGATTTGTGGACATTTTCGTCAAGCAATGTATTTTCTTCTTCTTTTTTTATATCAATAATAGGATTATATTCAATTTCATTTAACAACTCCATATTATCTTATTGTTTCTTTTACATTTATAAATTATCACTCGATACAACCTAATTTGTGTATAACAACTCTTAAGCACAGTCAAGTTCTTGAATATAAATTATAAACTTTTTTATAACTTCCTGAAAATAAAATTTAATTTATTTTTTTTTATTTCTTGTATAGACTAATATATAAATATATATGTATATTTTTGTTTTTGCGTTAAATTTAAAACTTTATAAATAAGTAAATGTAAGAATATATGATAATGCGATAAAATAAAATTTTATATCAAATTATAAAATTAAGAACAGATCATTATTAACGTAAACATTATTTGTCGATAAAATTAAATATACATCTTAGTATATAAATAAAGCAACTACGAATAAATTGAAACAAATTATATATATTTATATATATATGTGTGTGTGTGTGTGTGTGTGTGTGTGTGCGCGCGCGCGCGCGCGCGTGTATATATATATATATATATATATATACTTTGCTTGCTTAATAAAAATAATAACAACTTGATCGTTCCAATATTCATCAATTTTGATATTCATCAATGACATTGACTACTTACGACAAATTTTTAAACAAATAACATTGACCAAACTTTTACAGAATAGATAGGTATTACAAATTTGTTTAAATACGTATTAATAAAAAAAGAATTATAACTTTCATCTTTAGCTACAATTTTAAAGAAGATTACTCGGTAGAACCGTAATCATATATGCTCTTACGCAAATAATAAATTAACATATAACTTATGTATACATTTTAACAACGTTACCATAAATTTGTTTGTACCCTGTTTGTACAATTCATGTTAAACATATAACTTTCGCCAAAAGATAAAATAAAATTTCAACAGAATTCTCAATGCAATATAAAAATAATGTTTCTTACTTTCATATTTCACAAAAAAAGTTAATAATATTGTTCAATAAAAAAAATTACATCATCATGAATGACGAAGGAATTAATTTCACAATTATAAGCAATTAATAGAAACTCGATAACTCGGAGGAAATCAAAATCGAATATATTCATGATGACAAGTTATAACTTGTTATAAGTCCGAAAACCGTCATACGCATTATCCGATTGCATGTAAGATCCTACTGCGACACGAATTAGCTAAAAATTTAATTTTACAATGGCGTAAAAAATGCAACTGCAAAAACGGTAATCTTGCAAAAGCTACCCAAGCTTTCCTACATTATAGTCGCACCCAAATACATGAGAATTTTTCAAACGCTACCTATTGAACTGTACCGTTACCATCGCAAACAATCACTAAACAATAATGAGCAGCATCGCTCCCTAATGCTACCTGACTTCCTGTTAAATTTCGCTTCATTGCATACGTGTAAAAAAGATGGATCGCTATATTTATTTCGCTTCGGGTGCTATCGACCACGAGACGACGGCTTAACACTCCTCGAGGCAAGCGCGGGCGGAAGAAAAGAACGAAGAAAAAAAGAAATAACAGGACGATCACGTTGCTCGTTGCCCAAATCCTCGTACATGCTGCCCCATAAGCGCACTATCTGCACGTAAACGACATTCTCTCAAAAGCCATAGGATTTTATAAATCCGTAACACTTTTCCCTAAGCATTTTTCCTATTCTCCTGGACTTACCTTACACAACTGTAACTGCATTATTGCTAGATCGAAAGGAATAGCACCAGAAACGGAAATGAGACTCTCATTCTACGGAATGCCTTGCCAACTTGTAATAGCGAGAACGCAATAAGGGTTCACTGATCACTCGACTCAACACTAGCCATACGCAGTAACTTGGAAATTGCAAGCCGATGGATGTAAGATTGCCAGAAGGAAAACACTGTACAGTCGCGGCTTCGTCGGTGTATTTAGCTGGGAGGCCATCTTTACATTTTTACGTAAACAGGCTTGCCAACACGTTTGATCACGCGCGCCAATAGATTAGAAGTCAATGTCGGCCAAGAGAGGCTACGTGCCTCCTAACACCTTAATTACTAATCATGCTGCATTTGCACATTTACCGCGCTCCCTTGCTACATCATCATAATTATTCCAAATTCCTTCAAATTCAATTTATATATAATATCTACATACAATTATTATAATTATAATTATAATTGTAATTATAATTATAACAACAACAACAACAACAACGACGACGACGACGACGACGACGACGACGACGACGACGACGACGACGACGACGACGACGACGACGACGACGACGACGACGACGACGACGACGACGACGACGACGACGACGACGACGACGACGACGACGACGACGACGACGACGACGACGACGACGACGACGACGACGACGACGACGACGACGACGACGACGACGACGACGACGACGACGACGACGACGACGACGACGACGACGACGACGACGACGACGACGACGACGACGACGACGACGACGACGACGACGACGACGACGACGACGACGACGACGACGACGACGACGACGACGACGACGACGACGACGACGACGACGACGACGACGACGACGACGACGACGACGACGACGACGACGACGACGACGACGACGACGACGACGACGACGACGACGACGACGACGACGACGACGACGACGACGACGACGACGACGACGACGACGACGACGACGACGACGACGACGACGACGACGACGACGACGACGACGACGACGACGACGACGACGACGACGACGACGACGACGACGACGACGACGACGACGACGACGACGACGACGACGACGACGACGACGACGACGACGACGACGACGACGACGACGACGACGACGACGACGACGACGACGACGACGACGACGACGACAATAGTAATCGCAATAATAATGATAATAATGGAAGGTCGGTCAATTAATATTCACATGCACGATTTATATTTTAATCTTGTTTTTTTTTTAGATGTGCTTGTGCTCCCTCGCCTACTTACCTTGACGGACCAATTTACCGTTAAAATATTAGTTTCATTTTCGAAAAATCTTCTTATTTTTAAGTGACTATATTAATAGTCAATGTTAATCGTGTCGCGTTTTACAATATTATCCTATCTATATGTAAACTTTATACAATTCTTTCTCATAAAAATTGCAAAATATACTCGGTATTCTGTAATACTGTGTGCTCTGTGTCTAAAGTTCCGTAACCTCCTCAAATTGTTAATTAAATTTATAATTATTTTCTTTCACTGGTCTTGAATTTACAATGTCGGTTGGACTCGTAAAATTGCGCAATAACGATGCAACCAAATAAATAAACTTCAAAAGAATAACATTTTTCATTCGTGTGGTAACTACAAATAATCTAGCTTGTGTTTAATTTTATCTATAAAACTAAAGTCATTCAAATGTTTTTTACCTTTTTTTCTTTTAGTTGAGACTACTGTTTCAATCTATCATGTACAATTTAAAACGATTTTGTTTTATCCAAGACTATCGCTACTCTTCTAATCTTAATTCTATTATTCTTTAAGTAGACTGCCACAGCCTAAATTCTAATTTTAAAACTGCTATCGAATAAAAGGATAATCGAACATTTAGAATAGCATTGACATATGTGAAATAAAAGTAAAGGGTGGTAAGACGATATGTAAAATTAGATGAAATTGAATATCAAGTTTGAAATACTTGAGAATCTATATTTTAGTAGAATTAATTCATACTCGGTAAAATTGTTTTAAACTGGTACCATAAAGCTAAAGACTAAATTGATTATATGCAAGAAAATTATAATATTAATGGTAGCTTCATTAGTTGATAATTGTTCTTGTTTGAAGATTAAAAAAAAAATTAAAAGGTATAACCAAAGCAACGGATTAAAAGTGGATTTCAAGAGATGGAACATAATAACGCTAATAACGAAAAATCTAGGGGGAAAAAAATATTAATTAATATTTAGAATATATTTAAAAATAATAATGTAATAATTAATGATTATATCATCCAAAGAGGGTATATACATATCACATAATTATGAAATAAAAATAGTAAGGCCATTTTAAAGCCGTACGCCAACTAATAATACATCCATCCAAATTTTTGTTAATATAAGTTTATGAATACCTTACGTACATTTTTTACATTGACACTCAAATAAATCCCATAGTTCAATTATACATTATACAGAAGATTAAAAGCAATTTCATTCAATATTCTTGTTAAAATCAGCATTTTTCAACTATTTTTCTTCTCATCTAGCTAGATAGTAATTGATGTGATATCATTGTTATTTGCTTATATTTAAAATACAAGATGCGTAATAAGTATTGTTCTAAAAATGTTGCACTTGGAAGGAAAAATAATGCTATATATCTCTTAGCGAATTATAATTATTTATATTTTCGACATCTTTAACTATAAAAATATCTTCTGTCATTAAAATTTAAATCAAAATTTGCTGTGCTTATCTCCTCTTTATGCTGAACTATAAACTGTATTTGGTTTGTAAGTATTTTTCAACTAATTACGATTATTTTAACAATGTTCGCCTACATAATAATTATATTTAGGTACTCTCAACTTCTACTCCCCGGTAGTTCAAAGCCTTACAGAACTTTGTCGACCTAAAGTGCTGTTTTACATATAGAGTTATCATTAAAATGCACCAAGGCAAACTACTTCTTTCTAATGTACCTCAGTTAATACATATAAATTGTTTTGTTACATTAACGATTCGCATTTTAATTTATATGAATTGGGGTTATTCATTTTTTTTTTTTTTTTTTTTGTCATTTTCAATAGTTTTCAATAGGCATATTTCTTGTCTATAAACTAATAATAATTATTGGCCATGTTATCTTTATAATTGCATATTACAGTTACTTACACCTTTATCAACAATTTGCTACTTTCGTCTGAAAACTAATAGGTGATATAAAATGTTTAAATATTTTTGTCAATTATTGTCGATTAAGAGATTTATCCAATGGTCGTTGAGTTTAATTTTTCTGAATATAGTACAATTATAAATAGAAATTTGTCGAATGATGAAAGTTCATAAATTATCTACTATTTCAAATTCTAACCTAACCGATTAACTCTAATGATTTCATAAAAGAGCTTTTGGAAACTAATGCTGAATTTCAATATTCAAATTCAAATAATAGCAGCATATACTGCGAAAGATCATTGTTTAACTTCTATTATTATCGATATTGAATACATTTAGCATCATAAGAGATATTTTTAGCTGGATTTAATATTCTTTTCAATTGAATTATCATTTAATTTGCCGAATTACATTTTTTTGTTACGTGTTATATGATAATTTCTCATCATAAATATTGAAGTAAATATTTAATAAAATTTGTGATTTACTGGCCTTATTAATTAGTCATCCTAAATATACATAAAATATAAAATAATTTCTTGACGAATATTTGAGCAACAACACACCTACATGCAATCATAAAAATATAATAATATAGACGCAATTAGTAGGCACTGTTAGTAACCAATACAAAGCTCTCAATCAGTTTTTAATCTCATACGCACATAAAAATTGATCGTGTCTTTTATGGATAAGATTATTTCCGAAAGAATTATGCGCATTCTAAACTAAGTGTAGTATAGCGGCTTTCTATGACTCACACATAGCCGACATTATTAATTAGAAATTGTTATACTTTTCCATTTTTTTTGCTTCTTTTTTCTACTATATATATCGAACTACAATGTTTTTGTAAATGTTTTTATATACTTCTTATTGTGGTCTGCATATAAATATAAAAATGAGAAATTTCTAATTTCTAACGATATATCCAAAATGGCTGGATATACTATAATTATTACACTTTATTATCACTATTACTTGTAGTTTTTTTTTTATATTTATTAAACGATTTATATTATAAATTTCACAGATATAAACATGCTATATATATATATATATATATATATATATATATATATATATCTGTAATGATCTGTTTATGAATTACTATTAACAATAAATCAGGTTCCAAAAAATTACCAATACTTTTCCGAACAAGCATCCATACAAACAACATTGAAAGGTGAAACTCATCATGTCCACTAATTACTATCGACAAAGAATGTCTCACTCCATGCACACGTCACATATCACAAATATAAAGTTAAAATTGCTTTACCAAGATTCTAATTTCAAGAGTACAATAATAAAGACCAAAATCTGGAAAAATTAACATGTACGCTCTGGTTGAAAACTGATTATGTTACCAAACATTTCATCTTGCGTCTGTGCGTTTTCCAGCATCGTATCGTAGTCCCTAATTACAGCACAATACATTTTTATACAACTCCTTTGTCGATAAATTCCATCTCCTTCTATATTAGGTTCGTACATTTCATTGCGAGATTCCGAAATTGTTATACATTAAATAACGACTAAAAATGAATGAACAAATTGGCGAGTGAAATTTTGGAAAAACCAGAATTATGAATGTGTTAGTATGATTATATAAGATAGCAAAAATTAACCAATCAATATTTTTGTAAAATTATAGTCGATACAAGTGAAAAATATGCATAGTGAATAATTCTAAATGGCCAAACAAGGGTAGAGAAGCATAAGTTAATGTGTGTTTTCGCATTTATGTACTTTGTCCAATGACAGTGTTGCAAGAAAATATCTTAAGGCCTTTGCGCATACAAAGAAATAGGAACAAATTATAAGATGTAAAGGAGCCCTTCAACCGATAGACCTTTTTTGATAAATTTTTTTCTCTTTATGGTATAAATTATTTACTACGCCTACAGGTTTTTCGTTTCATTTGCGTAACGGCCGAATTATGCAGTAAATAGAATAATTATAAATAAATCTCTAAGTAAATATAACTTATTTACATTCACATTTCAGATGGCGTTAAATATTATATTAATTTTATGCAAATAACATATGATAACGAATTGTTTGTATAAAATAACGCAGTACATTGGCAAAAAATTTTTGGGTATAAAGTCTTTTCAAAGTTGTGTTATTTCGACTTCCGACGAATATAGACAAGCCAGCGTAGTAAATAATATGATAATAGAATTACGATTGCAATGACTTCTACAAGTTATTATATACCCTTTTCCTATTCCTTTCTATTGAAAATAAAAGAATTTATAAAACTGCGAGTAAAAAAAAAATAATAAAAATGCTCTTTGAGTGAAATTCGAAAATGTAAGTGTAAAATTTTAAGTTTTAATTTTTTTCTTTGATATCCTACGGGTGCGCGCGCATGCACACATGCGAGCACACGTACGGGCACGTACACAGGCACGCGCGTGCAGTTAAAGCTTGGGTTCCGAGGTTGAACGGAGAAAGGGAATGCGAGAGACACGAAATGGAGAGAGACGCACACACATAGCGCATGGATAAAGAGACGAGGAGGGAAAGACAGAGAAATAATAGGAGTGACAGAGATGATTGGGAAAAGAAGGATAGAAAGTAACAGAGAAAGAGAGAGGGTCAAAAAGGGTGGAAGAGAGAGAGGCCCGAAAAAGAGACGCTCGATGCGCCATGTGGAATTCTCAAATCTGTGGAAAATGGAGCACGGGAATGTCGCCGTTTCTGCATGCGACGGAGAAGACAGATGAATTTCGAGGGAGAGAAAAATATCATCAATAACAAGAGACCGAGGATGGAGTTCAAGACTTCAACTTCTGCTGTTACGGAGCGATTAATCTCGACGTCGTCTTCGTCGTCGGCAGGCTTTCACTTCGATGTCTCGGAGAAACGCTTGTCGCTCCGAATAATTCGAGCCCGAGTGCGAGTGAGACGCCTATAAAAACAAATACATCGCTCCTCTTTTATATACGGAACGGCTCTTTCCTCTTCTCTTCTGTGCTGTTTTTTTACTTTTGAAGGATCTTTAGGAATACTATCCTTGTGGGTAACTATTTTGAAATAGTCATTGGAGTGAATATGGTATCAGTGACGACCTCTGCTCTTCGAGTATATATATATATATATATATATATATATATATACGCATGCCTATATGTACATTTATGTAGATATGCATATATGTATATATATATATATATATATATATATATATATATCGTCTTTTATTTATAATGCTTAAGAAGTAATTAAACTTTTTACATTAATTGATGGTGAATTCTTCTTTAAAAAATAGTTTGAATATGTTTCCATTGATCTGTAACTGTTTGATATTGTACGAACTTTAGAAAATCATTAAACCATTCTTATATTTGATAGTGACTTTAGGATTTAATCATCTTGAATTATTTTTATTGTTGTTGAAATTTGCACTTACCAATATTGATTAATTTTGAAATATCCTTTTGTGAATTTAATTAAACAAGTTCAAATTAATTATAAAATTGTCGTATTGCATCGATTATTTCTAACTATTTTTATGTGAACATTCGATTTTCTGGTTTAAATTTTGTTTTTTTTTTTCTTACATACATTTAATTTTCAAAATATAAATTTAAAGTACTGCTATATAAAAAGATAAAACTTATTTTTAAAACAGTAACGTTCAGCATGGATGACGATGAACCTGCAATAGTGTCCGGTGACATAGAGACAATTGTGATAAAGCCAGAATCTATAGAGTTATTATTTGAAATCGATGATCCAATCTGGTTACAAGAAGATTCTTCAGAAGATTCAGATTTAGAACTTGTGGATAATAACATTGATGAGTGCTGTTTTGTTACATCTTCTGGTGAAGTTGTTACTATTAATAATGAGGATACAGTGCAAACCCCTTTTTATCTGGAGAGTTATTTTATGGATAACGATGGATTTAGAAGTAGATCTCCTTGTGTGCCCAATGAGCAACAAAATGTTATGGAGATTGATAGAGTTACATGTTATGAATGTAACATAGTATTTTGCAATGAACATAGATTGTTAGAGCATCTCATGACACATATTGATGTTTATAGGATGGGTTGCGAAGTCTGTGATAAGGTTAATTTTCACTTTTCTTACATATATTGTTAAATACTTGTTTTTTTTTTTCTAAATAACATTTTTCACACTTATTTAAATGCATCGTTTCTTTTAAGTAATAAGTATACGATTATGTTTATGCGTTGAAAGAAAATTACTGATTTACATTATTTAATTATTTATATCAAATTTATAATTGGTAATGCTATTTTTAAGGTTATGCTAAAAATACAACAACTAAAATGACAATAAATTTTCACAAAATTCTTTAATATTCTCTTCAATTTTTTATACAAAAATATCTATTAATTAAGATAATATTTTGTAAATAATTATACTTTAAATATAAATATTTTATATTTTCCTTATAAAATTGTAATTTTATAATTTCCATTTAGTGCCAAATTTAACTACAAATATATGATAATGTTAAGTCATGAATTATTTTGTATACAATGTTTAGATTATTTTCTATAAATTGTTTGAATTTGACCGCAATTTTATACAATTTCATTTAAAAGTATAATTTTTTTTAATCTAATCAAAATATTCTTATGGAATTAATAAGTAATTTTAAATATAAAATGTTCTGATAATTATAAATATAATAAACTTTATCACATTAAATGTGTAAATAGGAGACTCAATTGACTGTAATATTTAATATGTCTTATGTTTTCAGGACTTAAATTTAGATGAAAAATTTCAACTACACATGATGGCTGTTACTTGGCAAAGTGTTTACTATTGTGACTTCTGTAGAAAATCATGTGCAGGTGTTGTTAGATCTAAGGTATTGATTATAATCATAATACTATTCCATATCAAATCGATTGTTTTAATACAGAAATAAAATAAAATAAATACAGAAATAATTTTATAATTGATTTTCATTTGTCTAACAGTATTTTGAAATTTATATTAATTTTTTTAATTTTTACTTGTGAAACGCTCAGAGTCAACCACCACCTCCTGGTAAGACGTACATGTGCCATGACTGCGAATATCAAACAAAACAAGAAACTATGGATTTCCAAAGTAGTATTCAGCTATATCAAAATGTAGTAAGCAAGATTACAAGCCCTCAGACAGAACTACCGCAGGAGTGCGCTCCATCCTTACCCGTGCCACTTCCTCAACCACCCCCAGCAGTGCCACCACCACCGCCTCCGCCTACGGAAGTTCTGCAGGATCATAAGCAAAAGCCTAATAGCGATGCTAAATTTGAAGAATGCGAATACTACTCGACGGAGAATTCCACTCCAGAGGTTCAAGACTGCTACGTATCCCGTAAACCACCAATAAAGAAAGAAAATAAAAAGTGCAGAAAGCCAAAACCTAAGGTACAGGTAGTGAGTGAAAGTATGAAACAAACTTTAAAAATGTCAACAAGATCTCATACAAGAGAGAAGAATAAAATGACACGTAGTTATAAGTGTCGGTATTGTCCTTTAGCATTCACGGAACATTATATTCTTATGACCCATCTACGTGAAAAGCACAAATTTCACAAGCTCAGGTACGTATGCAAGCTGTGTGGCAAGGAATTCATGCAGCAGCGATGCTACGAGAATCACGTGAGCTTCCATCAACTCGCTAAGAATCATATGTGTTTTGTGTGCAATCTCGCTTTTCTCTCCAAGTATGAACTAGAGCAACATGCTCAAATGCATGACAAAAGCGAGATTATAAATACTTATTGCGATAGTCCGGAGAGCGTTGCTTTGGACTTACGCAAAAAAAAAAGTAAGAGTACTATGTGAATAGTGACTTACATATGTAAGTATGTGTATTTTATGAAAGCGAATAGTGATGAACAAGGCTAGTGTTTATTATTCGAGTTTTTGTACAAATTTTTTCATTTTCTTTTAGGGTGGCTTTCTAGTGATATTTAAAAATATTTAAGTTTTCATCTACTAACCTATAATTTGAATTCTCTTATTTTGAATTCTATGAGTACGTTATCATTTTAAAAGTTAATCAATAATATAAAATATTTTTGTTAAGTACTTATAAACTTTTTAATTTGGTTTGTGCCCATATATATTAAACAAATTATTATTGTACATTATGCATAAAACAAAATATAAAATCTTTTTAATTTTTGTATTTAAATATTGAAGTAATTGTTTATCCTGACATGGAATTTGAAGGATATCATTTTTGTTTCTTTATATAATAGAAATTTATTTAAAATATAATATTTATAGAATAACATGATTTTAAATTTCCTTAAATCTTGATAGTAAAATTTTACAAATTTAACATATTATGTTAGTTAAAATATAAGGAATGGTAAAAGGAAATTTTATTTGTTTGTTGTCTAAAATGTGAATTTTGAAAAATATTTCTAAAACGGATCAGTCACATTTTTATAGTCTCACAAAGATTTATAAAGTCTTGTAAAGGCAGTTCACAATTTGAAGTAGAATGTAAGTGAAATTTATATTAATATTTTCAAAGCAATGAATAATATTGGTTATTTTGTAGCTTACTTTCATATTCATTAGTTAAATAATTCATAATAGAAATAATCTAAGAAAAAAATCTACATAGATTGAATGAATCATACAATAGTTTGTAAATAATATTTTACGATAATTTTTTAAAACGTATAAAAAAGCAAATTTTTATTTTTGTATGAAATCACTAGAAAATCACCGTAAAGATCATTCTTGTACGATTTTAGTGTAAATGAAATTGGAATGCTTGATAATCTAATGTATTCTGTTGTATAATGAAAAGTCAAATATGGAAATTTGATAAGGTTAAAAATTAAATAATTGAATCAAATATGTGAGAATAATAAATAAAGAATGCAATTCTTTTATTTGGCGGTGTTTATTCTATATAAGAATTAAAATTATTAATCAATACTTTATAATGCCATAATTGAATTGATTTAGGGACCTTTACTTCAGTTTTATATGAGTACAAAAATAGTTTATATTGCAAGTCCCCTTAGGAGCCGGACAAATGCGTGATCGTTACATTTATACATGTTTTTTCTTAATAAATGAGGATACATTAAACCGTCTTTTTTATACCGTCGTATTTTCTATCTTCTGTTTAAAATATAGTTGTTTTTCTTCGTTTTTTAAAAGCCCAATTTTTACGACAAACTTCAACATCAAATTACGATGTATCAGCAAAACTTTATCATACACACTCGCCAAAGTGAAAAGTATATATAAAATGACTCTGAGTCGTTTGTTATTATTATTATTAATAATATTATTATTATTATTATTATTATTATTATTATTATTATTATTTGCTTTAAGTCGTATTTTACTTTTAAACATATGTATACATATTTTTATGTCATCTGCCATTTTACATCTTGATACAATGTCAGGCAAATTTCACACTTTCATACATATTCACAACCGAATGAGGAGACAATTCGACAACAATTGGAAAGCTAAATTATTAAATTAATATTTATAACATATATGGTCTATATTGATACATACTTACACATTTGGGCACTTTATTTTATATTTATAATTGATAGAATTCAACGAATATTTCAATTTACGTTCAAAGATTCTTTTGTACATTAAGACTCGCTTAAATTTACAAAACACAGTTGAGACAACGCATAAAATCTATTGTAGCAAATTGATTAAAAATTCATGATAGAAATTAGATAACAAATAGATTATTGTAAAAATAAATAGATTTTCTTTCAAACATGGAATAAACTTTATAATATTAAAACAATTTTTACAATAGATTTAATACACCTTTAACAAAATTAAATGAAATTTTCGTTGAATTTTCTTTTATTTGAATAAGTCAATAACAAATAAAAGAATTTATTATATTATAGAACTATATAATCAAAGCACAACGTATAACGAATTTTTTATTTATAATTTTTAACAGAGAAGTATGTATATGTTTATGATGGTGCCAAATATTCATAAGAGTTTGAAGAAATGTGTAACTCACTGTAAAACGGTTCTTCTTTGTCTTCTTGTGAATTACCGAAATCAATATTAAGAGTTGCACTTTGATTTAATGTAATGTGCAAAAATAAAAAAAAAAAGACTTGCGAATGGCTTTATATGCATTGATGTAAATGATTTTTCACTCATTACTCATAAGTTTTCTAAACAAATTGATTTTTAAGCAGTATAATAATTAGAATTTTGTCTTATAAAAATAATTGTTAAATTGAATTTAAAAAATTATACCATAATTTGTTTCAATGATTACCACTTTTATGCATTCCAATGTTTGGGCGCAATTTAACAAAATAAGTTGTATCAATAATTTTGTATAAATTAGCATGGAATGCAAAATTCAAATTCATTTTTCAAATTTAAAAAACGTTCAACATACGTCTACATTCACTTCTATTTATACTAGATATGTGTTTAAAAATTTTTTAATTGCAAATCATATTTAACAAGATAGAATATATAATAAATACTGCTTAAAAATAAATATTCACTCTAATCAGTAAGTAGGCTTCAATGTAAAGATCGTAAAAGTATTTGCATACTATTGGGGGAAAAAAAAAAAAAAAAAAAAAAAAAAAATGCAAATTCATACACGTAGAGTGAATACTTATTGGAAATCTTCAGCGTAATTGTTTATTGTAAAATACATATTTTGTTATAAAAATTTTAATAAAAAGTCCTACGACGAGAAAATGTTCAAGTAAAAGGAAAAGAAGTAAAAATCATTAAGCACCAATGAGCAAATAAAAAATATCGCTTCGATTTAAGCTGTAAGATAATCCTGATTTTATAAAACAGAATTATGAATTTTTTTTCTTTCTTTCTTTTTTTCCCCCGTTTTCTTTCTTTTTCTTATTCAAATCTGTTATACAAATAATGTACCAACTTTTTATCATCTTCATTCTCTATCTATTTCTCAAACAGATATACACAATTATTATTTGAACAATTAAATAAGTGTCATTTTCATTGACGCACTTTTACAAAAGATTCACGCGAATCGCGAGGAAACCATTTAATATCCATTCTGAAAACGTATAGAAAATAAATCGTAGCGAAAATTTTCTCCGTACAACACAATTAAAGGAGAGAGATAGACAGAGAGAGAGAGAGAGAGAGAGAGAGTAAAGGAAAAAGAAAAGGACGTCGGATAACGATCGATGAATTCCGGTATCATCATCGTCATCTAGTTCATTATAAACGCAACCACATTCCCGTGGCATAAGACAACGAAGCAAGGATTCCGGGAGGCTCGTGCGGTCTAGCAGCGACTCTCGTTTAAACGAATGCTAGTCTCGGGGCGACGACGACGGCGGTTCCTTTGTTCTACTATCTCGCGGGTAAACTGGGCATCTTCTCGAGGAAATCCTGTTCTATGACAGACTCGAGGTGGGCGACGTTCAGGTGTGCTTGCGATTCCTCGGGCCTACGACTCAGCGCCGTAAAGAAGTGATGGAGGTCCTGGAGCGAGCGGATGTTGCTCGACGTTAGTAAGAGCTCACCAGCCGGTAACTTAGACAGCGACTCGCCCTCCTTGAACTGCAGCATAAGAATAAAAATCGAGCTTGTAGTATGTGTGCGTGCGTGAGTACGTGCATGCATGTGTGTGGCTGCTTTTTACGTGTCGCGCTGTATAACTGTGCTTACGTAGTTGAAAAAAATCGAAAATTGTCTATAATATAAATCGATTATAAATTTAATAGCTTCGACATCGCTTATATATATATACATATACCCACGTAATATATGTATATATGTATCAGTTATAGTATTTTTATTTAAGTTAATAAAAGGATTTGCAATTTTTTATTGAATTAACATGAGTGTCTTGATTTTATTTTTCAATCCTTGAATATTTGTATTCCTATTCATATATTTGCGATTACCTGATCGGACAATCCACAGCGATAATATGTACCTCGCAGAGTTTTTGTAGATAAAGAAAAATTAAATTTGTACTTGTAATTGTTAAATCGAAAGAAAGTTTTACGATTTTAAGAGTGCAGCCATAAATGAAACTATTATTCAAAAATATTACTCAAAACATGACAGAACAGAGAATGGAAGACAAACATTATGCACTGGCAACGTTGCTATTTATAACAGCAATTCAAACAATACGTTCATTGAAAATTAATAAGAATTTATTTTTCCTGCTAAAATATAAATAACAACTGTATCTTATAAACACTTAAAAATAATAATAATAATAATAATAATAAAAAAAAAAACACCAGTGCTTGTAGTATCGATACGTGTGAATTTCATAAATACACAATATATTTTTAAAATTAAAATAATTTCTCTGTCTTATAATTAAATAGTAATTCTTTTCTCTCTCTCTCTCTCTCTCTCTCTCTCTCTCTCTCTCTCTCTCCCTCTCTCTTCTTTCTTTCTATTTTCTATTTTAAATTTACTATTAATAAGTGATGTTTGTTATTCGTGTGTATCTCTCTGCGAATGCACTTTATGTATAAACCAAAAATTATTACAAAATAGTTTACTATTGAGAGAAAAAAGAAGCAATTTGAGCAAATTGTTCCGAGCGTTAAAGGACTTTTACAAGCCATCATTATGAGCTAAAATAAATGTACACGATTATAAAAATTGATAATTTTTCAAGAATTGTTTATTCTACTAAACGAAGTACTTTGTCTCTCCTCGGATAAGCAATTTGCCGTCAAAGTAAGACTCCGATAGAATTTTATCTTACTTATTTAATTAAGAATAAATTCAAGAAATAATTCTTTTCTACGTGAGAAATTTATTGAACTAACTAACTGTTCAGAGTAATGTAATGTATATAACAAAAGAGAGAAATAAATTTCCATTTTTTAAATAAAAAAAAACGCTCTTCACGGGTAATTATTTACAAATGATAGGGACACATCGAAAGATATATAAATTTTTATAAAATTCTCATGGTGAAATGGTCGTATATGTCTTTCATTTGATCCCTCGTTCCCTCGCTCGTTCCCTCCCTTTATCAAAAACTCTATCGCGTAACTCACTTACGGCTCGATAAATGTATAAAGCAAATAATTAAGAGTTTGCCGCAAATTATCTAATGAAGTGAAATATCTCGGAAACAATCGGCATTCTTGGATATGATCCAGACCGAAGAACGCCCGCTCTGAGCACTCGAATTATTTATAGTCCGCCAAGTAGTGCGAGACTTTTTAACGCTCGAGGGAAAATTGAGTGTATTTGTCAGGTGGGTCGGTAAATCTCACGGCTCGAAGCATCTGCGATCAAGTACTTTACACTTGTCCCAGCCCGTCCATTTATTATTCCTCCATTTACGAAACACGCCCGTGCACATCGAAAGCCGAGCTCACATCGGCTTGGAATCGCTCGAGATCATCCGCTTATGCACTAAGGAACAACAAGTGGAGAATAATCGAGGCCTGTGTTTTAATTGTGCGGCCTCCTTCCTCTCTTACAGTCGGTTAAGCGAGCCGTTTCCTCGCAACGGCGGCACGCGTTGCCTATTACGACGAAATTGAATTTGAAGCGGAAGGCCGATAGGCGGATAGCGAGTACAACGTCAATAAAGACCGCTGATCTCGTGGCGACAAGATCGAGCCGACGGCGACGAGGCTTCACTTAGTGGACGTTCGGTCGGTGTAATGGCGAGATTATCCCTAGTGACGAGGACGGTGCTTTATCTGATTATACACGTCGGTGCTTCCCTTGCCATCGGTAAGTGTACTATATAATATTCTACGTATACGTTGGCCGTTTACTTGGCAGTGAATCATCTCTGCCCTTTTAAACGACATAACGAATCTTTTGTCATGTGTCTTGTCAAGCCTATCATTCGCGTATAAGTTTTCATTTTGGATTTCCATCATCAATGCGCTAACGTTACCGTTAAATATTTTCCCGCGATCTCGGATCGAGCTTCAAATTATGCATTCGACGACCTATTGTTTGCAACGTCTTTTACATCAATAGGAAATCACGTGAATTGAATTATTAATTAAATAGGAATTATTTCATTTGGTTTAGTTTGTAAAGTGCCTTGTGTATGAAACGGGTCCTTCTAATGAGTCTACTCGTGGAATTTTATATGAGAGGATAAGAAAAGAAATTGTTTAATCTCAATCGTACCAGTTGCTCCTTACTTATGATAAAACGAATCCATCGCAAACCGGAGCTAGGCGTATCGCTTTAAAATTTCCTTAACATCTACATGTGCAAATAAAGATTATAACGTATAAAGATAAAGCTTTAATCGTAAATAATGTTAATTATCATAAGGAAGCACGCTAATAAATAATATAATATTTTCCGAAAATCGAAAAGTTTTTAATTGGATAACAATCGTAATAAAATAAATAAATAAGTTATCGTATACTCGATAAGTTTTGAAAAAACCACGATGGAAACACCTTTGAGTAGCCGTTAAGTAAAAGATATTTATCATTGTTGATTTATTTTAATTTTACCTTCTTAATCTACCTAAATATTAAAAAGATATCTTATTTTAAAATAATTATCGTTATGGATGCGTGTCGTATTTTAAAATTTATATATATATATATATATATATATATATATATATATATATATATATATATATATGTATTACAAATGTAATTTTAAATGAATCGTTAAAGAGAAGGTATAAAACATAACTCAAGTGACTAGAAGCTAACCATAAGGTTCGGAATAATTGGTTTTCATGGGTATGCGATTAAATTATAACATCAGTATGTGTAAGCATCATCCGGCTTCTCTCATACTATAAAACGAATATAATGCATTTACAACATTTGCTTGCAAAACATGAAACAAATTCTCTTCGTTAATACAAAATAATTTATAGAGTAATCGTTATTTTGTCCAAATTTGATAAATTTCAATATTTTTGACATATCACGATTTATTAGAAATATTTATACTTCATCTTTGCTTTTTATTTAACTAGCATAGCTATCACACTCGATATCCTTGCATTTTCTAATACAAACATATTTTCAAAAACTATCGTAAGATTATTGCGAGCAATAAGATATTAATAACCATTGAATATTATTGATTTATCATTTAAAAATGAATTTTTTAAGTATATTAACGTTTACCGGGGCACTTGATTGATTTACTCAATTTAGTCAATGCTGGAATGCTTTTAGGTGACAAACGGCGCAATTAGCGCTGACTACACTTGTTATCCGCTACCTTTTGTCAGCCATAACTTGAATGAACTTCAATTTGCCACGTGATAGTCGGAAGTTAATATAATTTAGATTGTCAGTTACAAAAGCCGAAGTCGACGGTTTTTAAGTATAGCTTTCAAATTTTGTTTAATTTGTTTTTATACTTAATAAAAATTCTCGAATTATCACTTTTTTATTAGCTATTCTGTTTTAAGATACAATTCTAAATAATAATATTTAATGTTTATTTATTTATTTTTATTATCGAGTTAATGAAATTAAATTTACTTTCATTTAAAATAAAATACATCTCAGCGACATTTAATATATATATAGGATCTCTTAATTATTATAACTTACATTAAATTTATTATACTTCAATATTATATATTTATGTACATCATGTTCCTTCTTTGGTTAACTAAATTTGCTTATTATACAAAAAAATAATTATATTATTTATAAAATAATATAGCAGTTAAAATATAACGTTAAATGATTAAATCATTAAATGATAGTTAATAATATTACGTAAATTAATTAAATTACTTTCTTTAGTATTATTAGCGAAATAGTGAATTAAAAACTTATTGATGGTGACATTGGTAATTTATAAAAATATTTGAAATTCACATGTTTTCAATAATAAATTAGAGACTGGAAACATTGTCATTATATAAACAGTTATAACATCTATTACATAAAACTCTAATCGTACAATAATATTATTGAAATTGTAGGATAATTTTTCATTTTCTTGTAATGAAATTGACAAACGACAGAATTGGAACATTTCAAGTTCCAAGTTATTAATTATTATTAACTATAACGAAAAAAAGTATGAGAGTGATACTAGTGCAGCTGCCATTATGAAAACATTAAAATAAAAATTTAATGCCTAGTCCATTATTCTTTAAAAAAATTGCCAAAATTCAAGTAATTTTTAAAACTTTTACGACGTAGTCCTATCAATGAAGTCTTTTAATTAAAAAAAAAAAAAAAAAAAAAAACAAACCATAATCAATAAATAAATATTTATATAATTGTAAATATATTTTTAAAATGGAAAATATTTACGCGATAATTTACCATATACAGTTTGTTTCTTATTATTCTTGTAAAATGTTCACATCTACTCTGTTTCGTGCATTTCATTAATAATATTCCATTAGCAATATTCGATAAATTAATTAAGTTCAATTTGGTTAAAAAATTTTTTTTAAACGCCTTCGATACGTCTATATCTAATTGAATTTATTTTAAATTATTATCAAGCATAGAAAATGGGATAATCAATCGATTGCATACATACGTTAATCATAAAATGACCCTCGTACTTAAATGTGTGTAACTATTGTACACTATCTATTCGAATAAGCAAAATTAACTAGAAGCAATATACAGAGCTCGATAAGTGATCCTAATTCGAGGTAGTTGATGCTAATTGCAAGCGCCGAGCACGAGGTCAAAAACAATCCGATGTCCCATGTGTGAATATCTATAACGCGTATACGCATTCACGTAGAAATCGATCATTTCAGAATACGGCGACGATTCGGATTACGGCGACTACCTAGACTATGACGTGTTGCTCCCGGAGAAGCGCTCAGCAGCAACAGCAGCTGGAGCGGTAGCAGCAATAGCAACAGCTTTACATTCCACAGCCAACGACTTTTACATTACGGGCGAGGAAGCCGAGGATCGAGCGCGACGCGTTGCCGGACCACGTGAAACGGAGTCGGAGCCACTGCACGCAGTTAGATAATTGCTTATTAATTTTCCGAATTTTTTAATCGAATGTAAAGATGTAAAGATCGATCGGCATACCAACCAATGCGTGCCTTGGAAAAATTCTCACACGACATTGCAGTACATTCTACGTACGGCATGCCTAGTTAAATCCACGACGTTTAACCGTAATAGTGAAGCGATCAAATTCTCTTGCATATTTAGGCGTGATCTGCGCAATTCTGTGACAACAAAGTTTTCCATTAAATACAAATGCAAATACAAATAGAATCTTTTCTCGGTATAATCGTTATTTCAATGACTATTCCAATGACTCGGGCAGACGCCACTTACTCGCGAGCAAAATCAACGTCTTTCGATAATTGAAGCAATAAGTGAAGTAATGTCGTAATTGCTTTCGCAACGATTGCCGATATCCTTCGCACACAATTATTTAAGTTAAACACGTTCACTTTTAAACAGCTGGAGCTTGATTTTCCATCTGCCCGGGGATATATTAAAAACGGCCTTAAATGTCAAAGTAGTTCCGAGTACTTAATAATAATTAATCGATGATAACGCCTTCGCAGAAGAAGGAAGAGGATGAGATGGGGGAGGAGGATGGAGGGTGGCCATCAGCCGAGCGAGTCTATCGGTACACGAAGCACCGCATACCGGGTTACGATTACGACGAGCTCGAGTTCCTCGAGGCGCGCAGGGGAAGACGATGCGACGAGCGCTCGGTGTGGACGCACTGCCTGTGCCAGTTCACGTGTGCGGAGCCGAGCATCGTCGACTGCTACACACCCTGCACGAGTGGATGCGAGTGCCGCGAGGATTACGTCTACGACGAGCGAACGGGCCTCTGCGTGCACCCGGAGCAGTGCCAGCCCGACGAAGATTATATGCTCTACTGATAATGCCAGTCTCGGAGCTTTTCCTAACACTGCCAACTTAATGGGTCAGCCGAATGAAATATTCGAGTAAAAACGCCATTATCGCGTCTATAATTTTTATTTTTATACGAATGAAGGACGATGTTTTGCGACGAGTGGATATTAGCGATTGTACGTACACCCGCGTTATTTCCATTCGAATATCAGAAATGTAATATATTTTATGCCTGTTTTACCATAGCTGAGATTTTGAATTACTAAAATGCTAAATGCTTTTCTCTAAAAATTTACGTGTAAACATTATTTAATATGAAATATCAAATTATATACTCGTATAAAATTCATTTAAATTCTTTAAATGAAATATGAATATTTAATTTATAGATTTTCATGCATATGAATGTTTTGTTTTTTATTTCAATTCGATTAAAATGTATCCTAAAATCGAGGCAGAAAATATTAATTTGTTAGAAAGAGCATTATCGATCTGGGAATAGAAAATAAGATATTGAAAAAATTGCAAAACTCTCCTTAAATACTTATATGAAAATTAATGATTGTATTAAAAGTAAATAATGATTTTAATATAATTCATATTCTCTTTTACAATACACTGTAATACTTACTTTATTATCCATAAGTTTTGCTATCCTTGTTATATGTGGAACGAAATCCGAGCTCAAGTTATTGTTTTCTGTACTTCCTGACGCAGCATCTCCAACGAAAGCCCAACGATACCTGCAATAATTTTTACACATAAAATTAGATTAGATATGTCGATGTGAAAAATGTTGGCGTTAACATTAATTTTTAATCAGCATGAAAAACTAAAAAAGTTTTCTATACTGTGAATAATAGTGAAGATAAAGAAAGTTGGCTTCGAGTGGATTATATTGCGGTATTTTTCGATTGATACGATCAATCTTTCCTTATGTTTAATTAAATTTTTCAAAACCTTCGTCTATGAAAATATAATATATATTATACTTTTAAGGCTTCTTCGAGATTCTCGGCTAACTTACAAGGTACGGACTCCCCCCCCCCCCTTACCCGCACCGCTTACGGTGAGTAGTTATAGATTCTTGAACAGTTTGAATATAAAATCAATTATTTATGCTGATAATTAATCATAATTTCGTTGTTTTATTACATTTTTCATTTATAATCAAGATAACTCGCGCATCACATTAGTAATTAAATGCATTTTCCTACATTCCTAATAATTAATTAAAACCTTAAATATAAAAGTTATATTTACATTTGAAATTGTGGTAGTCTATGCGCTGGTAGTAAAAGCGCTAAATCTAAAAGTTTCGCAGCCGCAAGTTGTAAATGTAACCAATGTGGATGACCGTGAGCCTGAAGTCCATTATTAGAATTTACTGCCCAAGATGAATCCAGCGCCGATAGAAGTTTGATGTGCGAACTGATAATGCAAAAGTAAAAATTATTTTATTTTATTGATATCCCAATGGCTATGATGCTTTGATCAACATGATTTTACATTGGGCAATCGCAACCTATGCGTACAATGTTCAAAGCTCTTGCAATACAAAGAAAAACAAAATTGGAGAACGCTTAAAATATAAATTAGGATGAAATTTGTTCTCCATTCACATTCATTGTCGACGAAACACAATTTAAGTATTTTATTAAAGTTCTCTCTCTCTCTCTCTCTCTCTCTCTCTCTCTCAAGCATTGACAAAACAATATTTAAAAACTAACTTACTCCATTATAATGGGTATTGATTTTTTTTTCTTTTATTTTCTATTTCATAATATTTTGTATAATCGTAATTTTGTGCAAATTTTATAAAAAGAAAATTATTAATGCAATGTAAGTATTAATATTAATAAAATGGAGTAAATGGTTTATTTTTCGCGTAACATCGATCCATAATATAGGCGTGATAAATTTATGTAACACTTTTGATCAATTACCTGTTCTGACGACTGCAAGCCCAACACCAATCAACCAAATCATGGTAGCACCAAAAATCCCATCAAATCGAAGATGCCAAAACAGAGTGAAAAAAACATCACATCATTAGGATATGTTGATGTTAGTAGGAAATGTTTGGATATGATTGTATGTTTTATAGCTCTAATAAAAGCATAATTAAATTCTTTGAAAATACTTCTTTATGCATAGATGTGAAATATATTTGTGAAAAAAAAAAAGAACATATTGCCTATTTAAATAAGTTTAGAAATATTTCTTATTCAAAGTATTCGCTTATAGTTAACAATTTTCAAATGTATGACTATAGTTATATGAATTTGTACATAAAAAAATATTCAATTCATTATGTTTCAATATTAATTTTTAATTTTCTTTTAATCTAATTCTATCTAATGATTTTGCATATTGTTAATTGTGCATTGTATGTTTAAAGGTATTACATGGACGATTTTGTGTAGCGAAAAATGAATGAACAGTTGTTGTTAATGATGGAAAAAAGGATGATATTTCAATATTGTAAATATGCTAATTTTTTCAATATAATTCTTTATTTATGAGTAAAAAGATAATAATAATAATGCATAATAAAGTGATATTTACGTATAATCGTCATTTGGATTATGAACTTTTGAAATATTTTTTTGATAAATATGTTTGATAAACAAACAATTTTTGATGTTTGATACATTTTTGAAATATCTTTAGATGTTTTTATTTTTTTCCTTTGAAATATGAAAACAGCATTTTTTGTTAGTACTTTACAATAAACCATATAATAAAATTATTATTAATTAAAGACAGAACAAATTTGATCACATTTCAATTTTAATATGTATGCAAAATTGAAGAACCCAATGAAACAAAGAAAGCAGTAACAATCTACAAACATTTTGCTTTGAAACAAGGCGTACCTGAATTCTTCTGTATCAGTGCTTAGTTCCTGTTCTATATGTAAAAATACTTGAACCAATTCACTGACTATAACTGGCCAAAGAGAAGTTGCATGCTGCGGCGAGACACGAAGAAGCAGCACTCGAAAGCAAAGGAATACTTGTGCTTGAATCGAGGGTATCACTTGTGGTAAACGAAGACTGTCGGCAAGTCGTTCTATTGGAATAATTCAATTGAATGTTTATAACTTTTGCGTTTATTTGTTTTTATCGTTTTTGTTCTTTAGAAAAATAATAAAACTACACGATTCAAGAGTTAAAAAAAGTATACAACTGCTAAATCTTACTAATAAACTTTCTTTATGCTTAGATATTTAAAAATACTTATTTTCCAAGCATTTTTAAAATGAATCGTTATTACATAGAAAATATTAATTAAACACTATTATGAAATACATTCATCACGATAAATGAATGTACTTTAATTTACAATTAATAAATTTAATATAACGATAGAGTTGGTATAAAAGTACAGATGTCGTTTGTCTAATATAAATTTAACCTTGAATTTCTGGCATATATTTGTGATATTGGTCCATTTCACTACAAAGAATAACAAAGGCCAATCTTTTTAAAAGCTGTGCTCTCTGCTCGTATTCTTGTTCCTTTGATGAGAATATGCTTATGCTACTACTCTGTGCAATCGAGACCTTGGCTAAAATATAAATCAGATTCGATTAGAATTATATCCACGGCAATGTTGTATTAAATTTATTATAATCTCGATTCTTAGCCATGCAGTTCTTACTTAATAAATCTCGAAATGTTGTATTGTCATGTGTCATCAAATTGTCAATTATGGTTCGCCAAAATGGCAAACAAGCGGCTGTCATTTGAAAAAAGGCAGGATCCAATAATAAATCCAAAACATCTTTGCGCCAGGCTTTACGCGTATAAGGATATCCAGAAAGTGAACTAAGTAGCTGCGAGCAGGCAGTGAATGAAGCAATATTTTTCGTTCTATAATAAAATATGGATAAACCAATCAGTATATTACCAATTCGATAAATATTTCAATTTTAATTTCAATTTAAGTTTTACATTTATAAAAAAGTATATTACTTAATTAACGTATATAACATTACGATCTTTGTAAATATCTATTTTTATTCGAATATTTAGGCATTTCTTATATTCAAAATAAATTTAACACAATTCTTTATCACTATATTTTTAAACAAATTTCTTTTTAACTTACAAATTTAATATTCCATATTTAAAATCAGCCTATTAAATTAGCACGGTCAGTTAAAATTATTATCAAGTGATTTTCCCATAATTAATAATAAAATTAATAAATAATCATTACCATTTGTAATAGTTAATTTGTAATTGTAATAAAATCGAATCAATTACACTTACGTATGATTTTTCAAGTAAGGTGTTACATTGTACATTAGATTAGTAAGTAGTGTAGCGACGCGCTCCTTTTCCTGAGAGCCATAACTGACGTCAAAGAGAGGCGCCAAAATTTCTGCAAGCACAGCTTGCGCCTGGACACTGTAAGCAGAATTTGGTGGAGTGCCAGGCGTTACTGTAAAACGTAATATTATATATATACATATATATAATTCGCCAATACGTGCCGAATGTATTAAAAGATTAATATCGAATTACATACCAGTGCCAGCTTTACCTTCTTTGCCTTCCGTCGATCCTTCCGATACATCCAAAACATCTTCTCGTACGGCCAAGTTCCTTCGTAGCCAAGTTGTCTGCTCGAGACACGCTCCAGCAATTTGAGAACACGATTCAACGAGCTGTAAATATCAAATGCGACGTTTTTATTGACTAATCAAATGGCGTAAATTATTTATTGCGGATGAATTCATCCTAGAAGCATTAATACTAGCATTAATACAATTAATCATTTATAAATTATTATAATCTATCATTATGAGTGTAAACTTTTATGGAAAAATTTTATTTAATAATATTCAGTTTATATTTTCTATTAATTACGAAAAGCATATTCCAATCTGAATTACAACTATTGATTATAGATAAATTATATACGTACGATATATAACGTTATATATCATTTATATATTAGCATTGTTCTTTATTTTTTAATGAATAATTTAAAAATACAAAACAGAGTCTCATTTTATTCCGATGTCTTTACCTTGGTTTAAATTAGAAAAGTCGAATGTACATGAAATTTAAATGTACATAAAATAATACATAACGAATATACATTTTATTCCCTTAATATTCTTTCTACAGAAACAGGAATAATAAAATTACATTTGTATAATGTAAGCAGTGAGACATGTGGTATCTACCTTGGCTGTTATATCTTGCAAATCCCTTATATCTTTTTTCTCTTGCATTGGGGGGCATTTCTGCACATATTCGTTTAAAATTGCTAGCAATAAGAATTGGGCTGGCGCACTCGAAGAAAGACTATCCTTCAATAATCCAAGTAGCGAAGCCCATGATTCTACAAGCGTCTGTGATGTATTACTTTGCATATAAATATAGAGTAGCTCTAAAACCGAGACTTCCAAGGAAAAGTCCTGCTTCACTCCACTTATTGGCGGTGGAGTCTTAATAACTTGATGAACAGTTTGTACTAATGTATCGATGGGCATCACCCTAATTGCACTGACTAATTGGACCAGTACTTGCTGATTTGGACACGCTTCCGGTAATATCTGTATTGTTATAAATGTTTACTTACGACTTATGATAATTATAATACAGGCTATTCGAAATAAATATTTTATTAAAGTTAAAATTGACAGTTGTAATTGTAAAATAAATTTGTTGTTGGTATATTTAGTATCAGTGAACTATTCAATTATTTGTTTGTATGGCAAGCTTGGCCGATCGACAAAGCATTTACCCTTTTTGAATTGATAGAGGGTTGTCGCCTTTCGTGCCAAGCGACGGCAACTGCAGCTAGAAAATTCACACCATGATGAAAAGATATGGGCGAAAGAAGCTCTAGCAACTGATGTTTCACCACTCGGGGACTACCAACAACGCACGTCGCCTGCTCACTACAAATGCACACAACAAACAATGAATTAGAGAAACATATGGCAATATCCGTTTCGGCTAGTTAAGTCGTTAAGAAATCATTTTAAAGCATAAACTACAATAGGAGAATAAGAGAAATTGACCATAAAGGATTTTCATTTATTTCTACATAATATACGAAATAACTTACTTGTCTTTTGTAACAATAACTGCTTGCCAAAGTGTAGAAAGTGAGGCAATTATTCGAGGTAAATGGCTTAGCGCTGTTCTTCTTGCATTAAGCAGTTGCTCGTTTGTAGCACTCTTATCTTTTGTACCATTGATATCCTGAAAATAAATGTCCAGTTATTGAATTTTGGTTACAAAGTAAATAACAATTCAATTGTAAGCAAACTCTACGTTTAAATAGTTGATTTTTGCATAAATAATTATTATTTAAAGTAAATTTGATAAAATCATTATTTTATGCTGCTATGCTTATTGAAAGAGATTTCATACAAATGACTTAAGCATTTTATATTTTATGAATCAAATGAAAAATAGAAACATTAATATATTCGACGCACGCATGCACGCACGCACGCATCGACATACAAACACACTCGGAGTGAAATTGATAATAAATCAAGTTAATTAATTTAATATATTCGAATGATTTAATTTTATTGCATTAACTCTATTAATTATTTACTATATATATATATATATATATATATATATATATATATATATTTGTAAAATTCTTTACGTTAATGTCTTACCGTAGCTAGAGGAGTGGGCATGAAAACGTGTATGAGATTATTGAAAATTTGCCCGGGATTGGCGCCTGGTACTCCTGTTTGAATAGCACTGCTTGGTTGATTGAACGAAAAGACAATCTGTTGCGAGGTATCGAGTAAGCAGTAGTGTAGAAGGAAAGTTAAGGCTTCTAAATGTGTGACAGTGTAGTCCGCGGGTAAGCAGCACTCGACTAAACTTAAATCCTCACTCTTGCAGGTCGAAAGTAACGCATCCTCGCCAACATAATACGAAGCCAACTGCTCAATATTGCAGCAAAGCTGATGTATGACCGACGTAACGATTTGCGTTAATGAAGATGCCATAAATGGTAGACTAGATGTGACGAGGGTCGTCCAGTATTGGTGTAGATGCCTCATATGCTCCTGAATATTAAAATGAGAAAAATTAATCATTAATTAACAGCTTAAACATGAGAAAATACTTCATGGATTTGTGAAAATTATTCGTGTAATTTTTCTCGTTTTCTTACATTTCTTACATAAAATGAAATAATTTCCATGCAAATTAATCATTATATATCTAATTCTAGAATTGTTACATGGACATTTGTAAATGGATTTTGAAAAAAGAAAAAAAAGAAAAAAAAATGTAATAATTCAATAAAATGTAACCTAAAGTTTATTATATCATCCAATAAATTCAATATTATCGGAAAAATAAACATGCAATATATATTCAATCGAGATTCTTTAGTTAATTTAATGTAATTTATTTTTTATTCCAATAATGATAAGCAAAGAAAGTAGACATTGATAAAACGTGGATTTTTTTATATTTTTCAAAAGCAATGTAATTAAGTAAGACCAGTTTGAAACTTACCAATTTCAAAGCACTAAGTATACTGGCGAGAAACATTGACTGCTGAGGTATCGGTGCTCCTGCTATATATTTTAAGGTATTCCCTGATAAATTATCGATTGCTCGAGAAGGTGTCGTTGGCGACGGTGCTGCAGCCCCAACGTCTTCACCCTTTTGTGCTCCACATTGATGCTCGAGCATTATCAATGCTAGCAATAATCTGCGATACGTTTTTAACAATAATGAGAAATTGTAGGCGTAGAATTTTTTTTAAACTATTGACGTCTAATTAATTAACACGATCACTTAAATCCAGTAGTATAGATGATTATCAAGGAAAGTCTTACCGTAACAATTGCATTTGAAAGGCTTCCGTATGGTCACTTGCTCTATATTTACACTTGTTGATGTTAGTTTCGGTGACGGGATCGTTAAATTGAACGATTTCTTCGGTAAAAGTGAATACTTCGTTACTATCTTTCTGTGCATTCTTCATAGCTAGAACACTCGATACAAGACAGTGAAGTGCGACTTTTTGCACCTTACATTTCGTTAATAGATCTATGATGTAACAGCTAAAGCCTTTCCCGGAGTCTCGAACAATGGGTATTAATTCGGAAAAAATAAGCGTTAACAATTCTGTACTCGCTAATTGAACCTATGAACAAAATGAAATCGACAATTTCGTCAAACAATGTAACGCATTAAACAAATAAGAAAATTACATCATTTATGAAAATTATATTACAGATTTTTATCGGACAAAAATTAAAATAATTCATGTATTACACATTAATATCAATATCTTGATATAATAATACACGGTAGTTTTAATTTTTAAAAATTAAAAAAATATATATTATCGGTTGAAGCGTTTATTGTTAATATAAAATGAAAGTATAAAATGTTAGTAAATATAAATTTTATAATCTCCAAAATCGATATAAATAATTGCAATACATAGTTACTTATAAATTATAGTAATAATGATGATGATGATGATGATGATGATTATGATTATGACTATATTTACATTTATGTATTATAATATTTTTATAACTCTCTATTTAATTAATAAATACACATAAGTGAATGATTCGTGAATAACGATATTAATTAAATGTAATCAATTTAAGATAATTTATTATTATAAAGTCATGAATTCTTATCTCCCCGCAAGTCTTTATGAGTAGTTTATAACTGTAGTGACACAATTATGTTGTTAGTAAGGCCAACGCAATGCGATAAAAAAATTTATAAATACTTTTGTCAATGTAAAAAATAATCTATAAGAATAATATATTAAAACTAATGTTTGAATCAATAGTCTTGAAAATTTTTAAATTTAATATGATTTATTATTGTATGAATTCAAACATAAGTTTAATGCAGCTAAATTATGCTGCACGAAAAACATTATATAATATATTTTTAATAAAAATGTTTTAATGATAATAGTCGATATGCATTCTTGTACTTTCGCGGAGTTTTAATTTTTGCATAATAAATCTTTGTTCGTTAAAATATTTTTTCATGTTTTGTATAAAACTATTAATTAGAATATTTAAGAAAATCAAGTAAAATAATATTATTATCGCGCACGTCGCAATGGATACTAATGCAAAAGAAAAAATGCACAAATATTTATTTGTTATTAATAGACGTACAAATAACTGTTAAATATTATTTATTGTTTAATTATTATATTTTCATTCCAATAAAATTTTTCTTCCATTCTATTATAAAAATTAATTTTTAACTGTTATTCGAGACAAAAATTATATATTTTCGCAAATTAATATGCTCCGTGAATTATTTAAAATACGTTTATTTTTATTTATATTTCAAGTTTTATTATATTAATTATTAATTATATTAATTATAAAGTAATTTTTATTATTTTATTGTTATGCTAAAAAGAAAAATCTGTAATTGCAATTGGGAGTTTAAAATTAAAGCTTTGATTAATCTGTACTTTTAGTTTAATTAAATCGTTCGCTTGAATCGCTCATATTTCAAATTCTTTTTTATTTATAATCAATGAAAAGTGCAATATAAAAAATGAATACGAAGTATAGTGTAGTCAAATAGCAGTTTTAAAATGTTTCTGTAAATTTTGTACAATTTAGTTATAAATAATAATGCTAATATATATAATTCTAGTATGCATATAAAAGAGTAAAATACTAATACTAAACGAATATTAATATTTACATTTAACGTTAAATAACTGGCTAATCAGTTGTCGAATGATTGTGACGAAAAAAAAAAGAAAAGAAAAAAAAAAAGAATCACTATTAAGAAATATGAATTAGTATTGTTGAATATTGCTCACATAAGTGTTAAAATTTGCAATTATATTGCTCTATAGAGAATGTTTCAAAATGAAGAAGTCAATACATACTTGTCGATTGCCCGAAATCTCTTCCTGAGTGAGTCTCATCTGTCCTAGATTCGGATAGTAACTTCTCGCAAAATAAAGGCACACGCTGATCAATAGCTCCAGGTACATGCTGCTTCTATACGCGGCAACGAACTCTGTATTGGCGACTTCGCCGTGAAAATTTCTGCCGAAGATGCTCTTGCGATGTCGAGCAAGGAGCGCGAGGAGCGGCGCGCTACGAGGATTATTGGCAACACCAGTCGTTGCCGTCGCCCCGAGGAACATGCGGGCATTCGTTAACAACTCATTTCGTAGTATCCGCAGGGCGTACAGAGTACGATTTGAATCGTAGACTCCGCAATAAAGAAGCATGTGCGAATGGAGATTATGTACGCCAATGCCACCGGAGCTGTTGCGCTTCGTATTGCCATTATCCAATTGAATCGATTCCTCGCACTATAAAACGAGATCAAAATAAAGATGTCAATTTTTCTTCTTATGTCCATTTCTCTACGCACTTCTTATGTCTCAGCACTAGCCAAGAGGAATTTCTATTGTATCAGTAAGAAAAATTATTCAAAAATACTTGACATATTTGTGGAATGCTGATTTTCATATCAATAATGAAGTGGCTTATTTTCAAAATTATATTGTAAAAATATATTCCTAGTCATGCAAAAAGTATTGTAATCTTACGTTTTTATTGGTCTCGTTAGCTTCGCATATTTCGATCACTTTATCCACGACGACGTTGAGCACTTCTTCAACGACACTTATGCCGCTCGAATTACTGAAATACTCTTCGGCAGTGGTGCTGGTCTCCAAATCAGCTTCCTCGTCACCCATAGTCCAGCTTGGTATTTCCGTGGTGGCTTCGAAGCTGCCGACCGTGTCGTTTACCTCGTAACTCGAGTTGTTGAACTCGCTGTTCATACTGTGGTACTTTCCCTTTATTATCGTCCCCGCGATCTCTCTTGCGCTGTTTGGTATCATCACATGCTCCTTCTTTGGTCTTTGCTGCTATTTTATTAAAGACAAAAAAAAAACGGATTATAATACAATTGCGGTGAAATCCGTGTGGAAATAAGTATCTATAATGAATCTTGAATAGTCCATTGTTTCGATAAAAATTCTTTCTTTGCCCCGGTTAATGTTTATTACAAAATTAATGCAACATTACATACGAAAATAATGTATGAAAAAACTTTTAATACGCACATGTATTACAAGTATCTTTATAATTATAATTATATTATAAAGATCCACAGTTCGTTTGTACAATAATTTTAATAAATAAATATAAGCTATAAAGCTATAAAGTCAATTCTTAGTATAAAATTAAATTATTTTTAATAGAGAATACCCGGTTTCGTCGTATAATATCAGCTTAGTAATATCAGTAGAGCTTTTTTTTTTTAAGAAAAACTATAAAAATTGTTTATATAATTGTATATATATAATGATCAATTCGAATTTCTTCTCTTCAAATAATGTAAACTTAAAAGTCACTGGCCCAAAATAAAGAAAAACAAAACATATTTTTGAATAAATACAGCATTTCGTTATGTATAATGACAATTAATTTTCAATCCGCGTAAAAGCTTCACTACCTGGCAAATCTTATTTGTATTGACGATTTCAGGACTACTTGAAGCCAGACTATTCGTAATGGAATCCAACGACGAAGATCCAATTTCTCCATTGAGAGCCTTCGTGTTTTCGTTCTTATCCTTCGACTTGGCCGTCGGCGTCGTCGAGTCTGCAGACTCGAATAGGCTCTCGTCCAAACTTCCCGTCGAGCCTTTGTTAAATTCGGGCTTTTTGAATCTCCTCGCGTTCTTCAAGACATCCGCCGCAGCCGCAGCCGCAGTCGTGGTATTACCAGCGGTTGTGACGCTCTTTTTAGTCGATAACGAATCATCCTCGGTTAAGGAATCGTTTGAATTTTCATTGGCGTTCTGTGATAGCGGATTGACGAAAACCGATATTCGTCTATTACCGGATATGCTTGGCGGAACTTCTAGCTCTCTCATCGTTTGATTCCGCTCCGTCACATATTGATAACTCTTACTGTCGCTCGTCAAAGTCGTCACTGCAAAAATACGCTTCACTTTTACTGGATTTATGATGGATGATTTTTTCTTGTGAAAACCTTTAAAAAAAAAAGGGGGGGGGGGAGAAAAAATTTATGTTTTATGAAACTTTTAATGCAAATTAGATTGTTTAAATATTCGTTTTAATCTAAGAAAATCTTTTTATATCGTTAGAAAATCTTCGTTACAATTTAAAAAACCAATTATAATTTTCAGTCTATGAAAATTCACATTAACTCATACATAATAAGAATTTTCAATAGCTGAATTATCATAACTCACAAATTCGTTACTTTTCATTTATAAACGATATCTTTACGGAGCGCATGAAGTATATAAAACTTTACGATTGCGCGTGTAAATGAATATTAATAGTAGCTTTAAAAAATTGAGCACAGTTCGGAATTAATTCGATCATTGACTTAAATGAGTGTATAAGTAAATTAAAATTTTTTTCGTTAATTTGGGCACTCTTCGTTAACGTGAAAAAACAACCGCAAACAAATGCATGCATCCATATATTGCATTTGCATGAAAATAATATCATTTATAGAATTTGCGACTATTTTACTTGTAGAAAATTAAAAAATACCTAATCGCCATTCCGTCTCATCGTATCGACGTCGATCACCCTGACCGTTGCTAACGTGATAGATGACATTTCCGTCTACCGAACTGATCGCGTAAATATTAGCCGTACCCTCGGCGTCGTCCTGCGAGTTTTCCGATTTTTCCTGATGGGTTGTCGGGTCGCTCTTCGTAAGGATGATGTTACTGTGTTGGATGCTAACATGAAGGACACTCATGCGACAGGTGGAAGGATCGAGGAGCATCGTGAGGACGGGATTGACGACGCGCGAAATATCATTGCGCACGAGGCAATGCAGGAGCCAGGATTGCGACTGAAGCTTCAGCGGCGAATTGTCAGTCAATTCGAGATTGTCCAGGAGCTTCAAGAGCGATCTAAAAATATGTTATCTTTATCTATCTTATATGGTCTTCGTTACAAATGTATTGGGTTCCTATATACATTGTGTATTGTGTATTGGGTAAGTGGTGTTTCAAATAGCTAGTAAGTAATCTAATGTTATCTTTATTTGTAATAATACTTTGGTTTAATATTTAATAATCAAAAGTATTTAATTTTGAATAATACACAACACTTACTTCATACACATTATAACATTTTTAATATTTCTTTTTAATTACTTTTTTCTTGTTAATGTATATATCCATACACTTGATAGGCCATTTTTTAATTCCAATTACGTTTGTAACGTGAAATATAAATTTCATGCTTCGCCACAACATAGGTTTAATAAGCGATTCTTTAAAATTGATTTATTGAAATGAAATAATGCGTGACAAATTAGAAAAAATTCCATTCTAAATAGAATTTAATAGAGATGTAATACGAATATGTATGTGAAATAATGAAATTTTCATAAAGTGAAATATATTTTAAATTATACCAAAAGCTGCGTTATTGATGATAAGGAGAACATGTTAATATTTTAGAGCGACGAAATCAATAATCGAC